ACGCCCAAACATTCCGACTTTAAGGAATGTCCAAAACATCCAACTTGTTTACCTTAAATTCTAGTTGCACTATCTAGATTTGATTCTGCAAGTGCTTCCTATCCTAATGAATCTCGAAGAATCACACAATACCGTTTATAATAGCGTATTCAGCAAACAAAGGATATACCCGAAGGAAACACATCCAATACGTGAATTCAATCATAATATGCTTAAAATCTTATTTCGCACACAAAGGGATTTTAGAATGCTCCATGGAACGGGAGCAGTGTTTTGCAAAACAAATTCCCAGAAAAGGATATGAAAATAAACAAATGAATCGAAGAAAGCCAAATCCTCGCCAAAAGAAAACGCCACTATGAATGGCACACATCCACACTTTTGTCGTGGCGTTAACAATGCCATTGAAAGTGGTAACAATTTTGTTTCAGCTTTCGATTGTTTTCTTTTATTTTTATTGAAGCGTTTGACGAATATGTGGGGGCTCAAAAACAACGAGGACGATTGATACGTTGACGTCACGTTTGTCGTTCAGTTAATGTCCTTTGTCGCCTGTGTGTGGGTGCCAGCCATTGATGTTATTGTTATCATCCACTGCACGTTCGCAGAGTGCCCCCAGTGCTGCTATGATTGAACTCATCCACAGCCTAATTCCTTTTCGATAGAATTATTAAAACATTCATAAGCAAAGTAAAGACTGTATGGAATTTGGACCAAAATGGGATATTTGGATGTGTGACAAAGGTATTCATTCGGAATTTTTTGGCGGAAGCCATAAACAGCATAAGCAGCAAATCAAAACATTTTCTTGGCATTTTGAATGAAAACATGATTTGAACAACACTGCAATCTGTGCATCGTAATATATACAAGCTAATGTTTTATTATCGCCAAAACCTACCATGCTGTCGTTCGACACTTTTGGCCTACGGAAGAGTAAGTTTTGTAAACAGCAGTTAATTTGGTTGTCGGGTCGGTGACGATATAAACGGATAAAGTTGTGTACTCTCGAAAACTTTCAACAACTTTGGTATCTGAGCTCTCGTCTGAGATAGCAAACGGAAATAACAGAACTTGTAGAAGTAGCGATTATATTTCCGCCTCCTCTGCCAGCTGTACCACCCACATTATCATTACCCCGATACAAAGTCGCGATTATCAACTTTGTCTTAGCGCACAGTGTACTGCCACTATTCTGATGTGCCAAAATTTGCATTTTTATGAAGAGAAGACCATTTGGCTTTTTCGCATTTGTAAAATAATTGGTTAATTTTCAACATCGAGGAAGGAGTTGCGTAAAATGATCAAGTTTTTAATAGCGCCACAACTTATGGTGCCTATTATAACCAATCGCCCAATTTTAATCAATATACAAAGTAACTAAAATTGAAAACTTTTTTAAACATCAAACTATAGTGAACGTTTTTTTTTTCAGAAATAAATAAGTAATTTATTCACATAAAAAAACACAAAAGCAAAACATATAAACACAAAATTTATTTTGAAATAAAAAATAATGTACGGAAAACTAAATTGACCTATTTTTGCTTGGTCAAAACTGAAGCAATTTTTTGAATTTTTTTAATAAGTAAATTTAGATGGAATTGCGTAACCATTGTTTTTGATTACGGCAGCACCCTCAATTTGATTCTTGGATCCTGAACCTTTGGGAAGAGGTTATGTTTCAAAATCTGTTTTGATTTTGCTATCTATGATACACCAAAGATTTGTACGTAGGTTGAAGATCTAATAATTGAGTTGGCCATTATAAATCCCTGATTTTTGACTCCCGCAAGGAATATTTAATATGTTTCTCTGTATGCTTGAGGTTGTTGTCAAGTTGAAACACCCAAACAAGCGGAACATTGTCTTCAGCGGAGGTAAACAAAGGGTTTTTCAACATATATAACACTGTGCTACAAAATAACAAAAATTTTTTTTCAGGGGTTCCTCTTTTACCAAGTATATAGAAAGAATATGCATAGAAAATCAGGTTTTTTTATACAAAAATGTGGATTTTATTTGAAAAAAGTCATAACATTTTTTTTAACCGATTTTTTTGATTTTTATCATTTTCGAGTTAAGCTATAAAATTTAATTTTCTTCGACAAATCCAACGATCAAAATCAAACAAAATACAAAAAACAAACAGCCCGACCAAATTCACCGGTAATAGAATAAAACTTATATGGCTTGATATCATAATTTCATCGATAAAAATCAGCCCGTTAAAAAATGGAAAGGTAAATTTTGTCATTTTATACGTATTTTTTCCTGTTATAAACATTTCAACCGCTGTAACATAGTTCCTTTAGAGAATATGCATAGAATCAATACAAAAATGTGTATAAGTCATACATTTTTTAACCGATTTTTTGATTTTTATCATTTTCGAAAGCTAACTTAATTTTCTTCCCCGTAATAGAATAAAAATTATATGGCTTGATATCATAATTTCATCGTACAGCCCGAAGAAAGGTAAATTTTGTCATTTTATACGTATTTTTTCACATTTCAACCGCTGTAACTCAGCCAATCCTCAACCGATTTACCAAGTATATATCTTGTATATAATATAAATCTGTTGAAAAGTAAATAAGTTATTCGAGTTTTAAATTGAAAATCCATGAAACCAGGTTTTTCTCTATATTTACCGTTATAAAATAAATTTTCGAAGTGACCCAGAAAAACCAAAGGTATTTTCGTGGTCCAGGGGCTCCAACTAAACATATTTGGTACATTAGAAGCATTGAAAAATTTTCGTGTCGCACAGTGTAATCAATACAATCCATTACTTCACAAATGTCGTAAATAGATCGAATTCTATAAAAAGAAAATAGTCCAGTACCATTATTGAACACCTCCATGCCTCCCAGTAGCCTTGCAATACTGAGGCTTGAGCCTTTCACCTACTCACGGTATTTTTCGTGTCAGCGCCTTTAATATTAAACTTCATCTGACGACATAATATTTATTCACCGAGTCGGATTCCAATGAATATGAATTTCTGCGAAACCCAATCTGGCTTTCCGATTTTTTCAGAAATAAAAGGGCTTTCTTGATAGTATTCGGGCATGTAGACCATCTACCATAGCTTGCATTAATGTTTTAGTTTTTTTAAATAGGTAAAGTACTCGATTTAAAATTGAAAAAAACCAAAACAATATCTTTATTTTTGAAATAGTTATGCAGCATCTAATCTCTAATTGAATCCTGTTAATTTTAACGACAAATCCAACGATCAAAATCAAACAAAATACAAAAAACAAACAGCTTATAACGACCAAATTCACCGGTCCCTTGACCGCCATTATAAGCGATTTTGACTGTATATGCAATAGAAAAAAATATCGTCGCATTCTTCGGTTATTCACTGTAGCACTGTGCATAATCCGGGCAACGGAAGATGCAAAAATTCTTGAAATTGTTGAACGATTGCATAATTCAACTTCAACTTTCCTTAAAGAATAATTAGCATTTGTGCGTATCCAAAAAAAGGGTTGCAAAACCAGTCGCATCAACCAACCACTTGAGCCAGTTGTAGTTTTGGTAATTAGATTTTCCTCTTCAAACTGCGAGTGCTTTTTACCAGTTTGGCTACTGTAAAAATGTCGAATATCGAATAGTAAAAAATTAAATACAATATATACTATAAAGAAAGCAACATTAACAGATCCAATCACCGCATTAGACAAATAAAACAATATATGAGAACATTGATTCGTGCATTTCTGCGAACATCCATGCACCCACAAATTTCAAGCCAAAATCTATTATCCATAACGGATAATATAATGTTCACCTTTTTGTTGGCTCCGTAGGTAAGTGACAATAGCGCTACACTTGTTACTGGAACATTCCAAAGCCCACAGAATAATGGAGAATGTGAGTTAATTGAAATTTCCACATCGTCGTTGTGTTTCAGCCGCCCAAAGCGAAAAAACCTCTGCCGACTACTGCTGCGGTGTTGCCTGTCTCTACCACGAAGCCAGGCATTTTCTATGGCATCCTTTATGGAAAATGAGTTTTATTTACACCCACCACCCAGCAAATGCTTAAGCAGCATAGAGAATGATTATTTTTTCATTTAAAATTCTTTACGCCCAATTAAGTAATATGAGTATATTGAGATGCATGATGTCAAAAGATGATTACATGCAGCAAGCACTGCAGATTAATATCGGTACGATGCTCGAAAATGACAATCAATGGAATAGAAAACGGAGTAGCAGTAAATGCAAAACTAATAAGATTTCAATGGCAAGACACATTTCGATGTGATTAGTATTTGGTAGGATGTGTTGTATAAACGAATATGATATAGAAAACACAACTAGTACAGGATGAACATAAGATGAATGAATATCATGATTTGGTACAAGTGAAAATGAATTATCCTTTAGTACGTTAATTGGCAATTCAGAATACAATATTAACTATCTATATTACAATGATTATCAAAACATATACATACATACGTAAATGGAATATTTATATCCATTTTAATTGATAGGATCCTCTTGGTAGTACGTACAATCTTATGCGAGCCACATGATGGACACGTGCCGTCCGATGAGACAATTCTGTGTTGTGATACACGCCGGCGTGGACGTTTCAATATTGTACTTACCCTGTACAAGGCCATTTGTAATAAGAATTCGATGAGTAGAATAAACATAAAACGTTTTGGGAAGCAAGTTTAATCGCAAACTTGTGTTTGGAGAAAAGAAACGACTTTAATACTTCGGCCGAATTATAATAACATTTACGTTATTGTGAATGAATTAGATCCTCTTGGAATCGAACCATGCGAAGTACCTTTTAGGCCACTAAATAAAAAAACGATGTGGGGAAAGGATCTGGGGAAGGCTTAAAAGCATACAAATCATAAACGCAAAGGATTAAACATTCAAATGAATCTGTCAACAGAAGCATAACAACTTTATTGAAAATAATAATAATTTTTTGTCTAACTTAGAAAATTTACTACAAAAATGGATTTAGGCCAACGTGGCACGTTTTGATACATAATCTCGAGAAGACCTTTCCTTGTTAGTAAATCTGGCATAGCTGAAAATAGAACAAAAAGCAAACGTATGCAAAAGCTGCCTTTAAATATTAAGTAACGAACTTACGTTTTCTGATATCGTTCAACGTCAGACTTATTGAGCGAAGGTCTAGTTTGGTTAAAGGCCTCAAGAAGATGTGTCTGCTTAATGGTGACTTTTTCGGCGATTTTCTATATTTAAAACAGATTTTAATGATATTATGGGAGCTATATATGATGTCACTTATATTATTTTGTTAATATCTAATAATCTTAAACTGTATGAACCACTCCATGTGCATGTCGTAAACGTCCCTTATGATAAAAACTTTAACACATCCATGCGATTACCCCGAATGCTGAATTTCGAGATGCTAAAAACTAAATAACCTGCCTAACATGCCTTCATCTGAAGACGGGGCTATTAAAATTTGTAACGATTCTACCAAATACACGTTCACTACAGTTTACAACATTGGCTATGGAAACCATGCAATGAGGGTAGAAATAGCCGATTTTTGTTCATATCGCAAAACCAAATGTTTGTGTTTTTTTATTACGGTTGTTGTTGCCATGAAAAACTATCGCATTATTGCTGCGAATCGATGTGAATAATTTTTTTAACAATATCCATTGATTTATTTAACATATTAAGATTTCAATTTGTCGACTGATGATAGTATCGATAAAACTATTCATTACATATTTCTTGTACGATATAAATTAGGGGTTATTCACCAACGAATCAGGAGAATTTTTCAGTATAAAAGTGTCTGTGGGTCCATCATGTTTCCACTGCAAGTTGCCTACATATGCACAAAGACATAATACCCTGTACCACCGTGTAATGTAGGCCATTCCCTATTGTTCATGTTGGGACAGTTGAACCTCAATAATATGCAACACATTCGAACGACGATTGCAAAAAACGCCGTTACATAGAAAAGATCTGCGATAAACACGCAAATAGTTTTATTCCAATTATTTATTGCTTAGACAGTCTATACCTTAACATTAAAATAAATTATTTCTACATTGCAAACATATATAGTCTATGACAGACATTCTAAAACCGCATTGTCAACAAACAATACGCCAGGGTACATTTTTTATGATGACAACTTAAAATAAATCAACAATTAAAGATCCTTATTAATAGAACAATAGTCATTTCGTATCTTGAAAGTCTTATTGGGGTAATGTAATGTAAAGTAGTGAGTATTCTAATATACATAATATGAGTGTAACATCATCGTAATATTTGGTTTAGCGACATGCGCCAGCGGTAACGTGGCCAGTCGAAATATTTCCCGAAACGATCTGGGTATGCCGCAGTACAAAACATTCATCCATGACACCGAGTTGAAAATTTTCGAAATTCATTACACCTATGTCTGTGGACCCATGGAAAATTGTCTATGGGGAACTAAATCTTAACATATTATCGTTGTAATAATATATAGCTGTACCCCGAATCATTTAAATTTATAGGTATATTCGTATCTGGCTGCGGACGATTCAAGGAATGTTTCACTTTCGGATTCATCATCACTGGATGATGGCGGCGTCTCGAGCATAGGCATTGACAAATCCAAATATTCTTCATTTGGCGTTGAACCCGACAACTGAAGAATTTTGTCCAAGTTTTCTACTATTTCTGAAAATGTGGGCCTGGCATTGGAGTCAAAGTGCCAACACTGCCTCATCAGCATATAAATATTGAGAGAGCAACGTGGCGGCTTCTCCATCCTTTGCCCGGTTATTAGATAGCTATATAACTCTTCTGCTGACATGATGTTCGGGTATGGTTGTTCACCATAAGTTAGAATTTCCCACAATAGAACACCGTACGACCAGACGTCAGACTGGGAGTCGTAAAATTTCTCTTGCAGCGATTCGGGAGCCATCCATTTTATGGGCAATCGGCCATTGGTGTTTTTTCGGTAGTAGTCAGTATCTTGGATGTCTCGAGCAAGGCCAAAATCAGCTATTTTCATTACATAGTCATCACTGACCAGAACATTTCTCGCTGCCAAATCTCGATGAATACACTGAAAATGTAACAGGGTTTCGTAAGTGAGCGGTGATTTGGAATGCAAAAGTAATACTTACGCGCCTTGAAGCTAGATATTCCATGCCACGTGCTATTTGAAACGCAAACGACGTCAGCTGCTTCTCCGTCAATACAGGCTTTTCCTCCAAATAGTCGCTATCCCTTTTCAGACTGCAACTTCCCCATGCGGAATTTGGCCGATTCTTCTTCAGAAAGTCTTTCAAATTTCCATGAGGGGCGAATTCAACAATAACCCACAGAGGTCCATTTTGACTGCAGCAACCCAACAGATTGATGATATTTATATGCTTTCCGATCATCTTCATCACTTCCATTTCGCGCACCAAACTTGCCATGTCAGCGTCCGTGTGCTCCTCCTTAACCATTTTAACAGCCACAATTGTAGTTGCATTATTATTAGCGGGGGCACGGGTCAATCCACTTGCCTGCGCCATGACTACACGTCCGAAGGCGCCCTCGCCCAGCGTTGATCCCAACGACAATTGACTACGTGGTATTTCCCAATTCGAATCCAGTGGAAACTCATATTCGTTGAAGCCTTGGGTTGGATCTGAATTCGTGGACGTTGTGAATGTCGTGCGTTGTTTCTCGATTTTTATTACGGGCATTTGCAAGTCGCACGTACTGCCATCCGAGGGTGGAGGCTTGTAAATTATCACCTTCTTCGTCCATTGGTGGACGGTTTCGATTCTCTGCTTCAGAAGCTTTTCGTGTTTCAAATTTCGCAAGACGTAAATGATAAAAACTGTGCCGAGCAGAAAGAGCAAAACAACGACAACTCCAACTGTTGTAATCCATGCGGGATGGCTACGCGCCAACCCGTCCCGCAGCGGTAGCGTATCAACAACTTTTAAGTAGGCGCTCGCCGCAGCCTGCCCAAGGTCGCTGGCTGCAACACAGGAGTACCAACCTTCGTCGTCATGTGTAACATTTGGAAAAGTCAGGATATTGGGCTCGTCCGCACCGCGGTTAAGCACTATTATGTCACTTGATTTCTTAGTGCTCTGTCGGACGTCAAAGTTCTGAGCAATTTTCTCCAGCTCTTCAATGGATTCATTTTTCTTGGCAAACTTAAGCCAGAAAATGAATGGCTCTAGATCAGACACAACTCTGCACTCCAGCGTTGCACTGCTATTCACCAGGACGGTTTGATTTTGTGGAAACTTGTCGCTAATTATAGGCCTTGTGCGCAGTCGGTCAAAAATTGTTATTTTAGTTGAATGCTCTATGCACCCGTGGATATTGCATATCCGACATTTGTACACACCAGAGTCCTTCGTTATAGCGTCGTCCATTTGTATTGACCACTTCTTGTATGTGACTTTTCCTATATGGCGTTCTATAACCGTGTCATTTAGGGTCCATGTTATATTTGGACTCGGATTGCCAGTGGCTGGGCAAAGCAGTTGCAGAGAGCTTCCTGATGGTTTGTGCAGTTGATGGATTAATTTGTTTATGTTTTTGAATACAGGGGGACTTTCTTCGGACTCATTCGTTGTTTTGTTTTCGGGTTTAAGTTCGTGGTCTGAGGACTCGTCAGTCTCGGCCTGTTCCAAGTTCAGCGAATTAAACTCATGTAAGATTTCTTCCGAGTTATCATTTCTTGCATCCGATCTGTCAGTACTCTGGGACGCGTCAGATACGACATCTAAGAAGGCACTTGTCATTGCTGCATCTAGCGAATTTGTGGCAACACATGTATACCAACCTTCGTCTTCTTCTTGTACACTACCAAGCCTGAGAAAGCGTGGTTTGTCAACTTGCGTCACCATCCTTCTCATATTCCTTTCCTTTAGCACATCCAGCGGTTTAACTGACACATTTATAGGCGCGTCGTGCTTAAACCAAAATATTTGCGGTGCGGAATCTGACACTACATCACACTCAAAAATAACGTTATGATCCATATGGACAGATTGGTTTTTAAGTTCCCCGACTACAACTTTAGGTCGCTTCGTTACCACCCTCAAATTCGTTGAGCGGTAAACACACCCAATTTTGTTGCAAAGTTGGCATGTATATGTTCCCGTATCCGAAGTTTCTAAGTGTGCTATTGAAAGCGACCACTTCTTGACAATGACTTTCGACTTGTGATAAACATCGAGTGGCCTATTGTTCAGCAACCATGTTAAGTTCACCGATGTCGGCACTTGGGGAACACAACTGAACGCAACAAAGTCCCCATTATGTTTAATGACACTGTCGAAGAACTTGTTATTTTCAAATTTCGGATAGCTGTCGATGTAGGGCATGTTTTCGGCATTAGCATTCGCCGACGATGTGTTGCCATGTTTACAGGAAGTGAAACAGACAAATATGGTTGCGTTCGCCCAAACTCTGCCTAAGCTGTTTTTCATCGTCGACGTACAACTGTAGATGCCTTGTTGTTCTACGTCCAGAACTTTAATATTCAGGTTCCGACCAGTAGTTACAGATGTATCGTTGTGGTACCACTGATATTGCTCAAAAGGGCATAATAAATTAATAGATTGGTTGAAATTCACTTCTTCGAACTGCGATACGTTGGGCACCAAGCGAATACTTTTTTCATATCCGGGGGACACAGGTAGACGGTCTGTGGCGACGCTTTTTGCAGAACCGATATTCACATTAACACATATACTTATAGCAAATATTAGAACTAGAGAGTGCGTCGCACTTGTACAGCCTCTTTTTATCATCTTTGTATCATAAAAATCGCAGTAGTTCTTAGACCAACCGATGGACGGTTAACAAAATTCAAAATAAAATGTAGCTCTTGAGGTTGGTTGTAGTTAAAATGACGACATTCCTCGTATTCAGTGGCACAAGTGCTAATGTGGAATGGCTTCCTTCTCTAATAATTTGTGTTGCCAGCAGTCGACAATTTTATTCAAAATGGTGTGTGCACTGCCTTCATAATGAGTTTGGAGAAGCGTTGTAGCACCAAATCGATATTTTAGTAACAGCGTTTACGCCAAAATAGACATTCGTCGACGTCTGCAGAGCTTCGTTAGTGCGTCGCGTCGTAGATATATTCCATCAAACAGGGTGTATACACCTGATGTCGAAAGATGTTTTTGGTTTGTTTCCCAAAGCTATTCTTGATCGTTGCTCTCAAAATCCGATCAGTTCACTATGCACTTAATTCTTCACTACACTATGTTTCAAAAGTTGTACTGTTATTACTTATTTATTATTATTATGTTTTTAAACGAATTTGTTTTTTTTTTTTTTTTTTTTTTTTTTTGGTTAAATATGTTAGGCTCAGCTTTATTTAGTCACCGCGTCATAGCCACAATTTAAATATTTCCGATCGAGACCTTTCAAGCTAAGTGCTCATTTGCGACTAACGACATCGTATTGTTCAAACTTTAACTTCCCCCATGTTCCGTGATACGAACGTAGAGAAGACAATAATCAATGAAAGACTCTTTGGGCTAAAAAGCGACGTCACGGACTCGATCGTCACCAATGCTATATTTAAACTGGCTGCCGATTGTGCGACCAATCAAATCACACTGAAACAAGAAACATTCTTTAAGGCCAGGAATACACCATTCCTTTGTGGCTCTTAAAGAATTAGGCACTACCTGTGTGACTACCACGAACAGAACACAAACAAGACACACGCACACGGCAGTTCTGATAGATAGGACAGAAAGTCGGCTTATGCTCAACACATGTACATCCTAAAACCAATAAAAATGCAGGAGCCGCAGTTAGGTGCTTCGCTTAGCACTATCCATTTTCTATGCACACTTTATCAGTACACGTAATTCCCAGATTTTTCATAATTTATGCACATTTTACAATGTTTGTTTGTTTACTTTCTGCAATCGCTTCGCTCTAACCAACAGGTACCCGTCGTCTTCGCTGCGATCTTTATTGTTTCCCCGTGTCTTCTTGTCTTTTATTCTGTGCTCAGTGTTCAGTTTTGATTCTTTGTTTGTGTTGCATGTACGCTCGCTGAATATCAATAACAAATATCCGTTACGTGACTTATTTCTTCCTTTGGTTTTATAAATTCGGTGTGTAAATGTTCTAATCCGAACAAGACTCGAGATAACACAGTGACTATCGGCATGGATATCACTTTGCCCGCATAATAAGATAATCTCATCGAAAGGACAGCGATAAACATAATTCAGTGGAATGCCTTGCTTGCGAGTACACACATAAATTTGTTCACTTTAAATCTCCAGCTCAATACAAATGTTATTTGGAAAGGATAATTTGAAAACTACGCTTGTAGTCTTGTCACGTACCAAATCAACAAACTACAATGTTATGCTACTTCCCAAAAATATTTTATCTAACAAAAATTTTTATTAAACTTGGAGAAGATAGACGATTTGAAGTACAAAATATATAAATGTTATTACTTATTTCAGGAATGCCTGAAAGGAAATATTTTAGACCAAAAATGTGTGCCTTCTTATTCCGCGCCATAACAACATTACAATTCATTTGGCGACAATTAGCATTACGAATACAGAAATGTTTTAACAATATAGAGATAAGAAATTACAATACAAAATACTCTAAGTATACAAATATTACAACGTCCATAATTTTGGATAGCCAGAATGAATTCTTAAAATAAAATTTAAACCACAAATATTACAACGTCCATAATTTTGGATAGCCAGAATGAAACATTGAGCCAGAATGAAAACACTGACCAATAGCATTCAAAATTTGGTGTTATTTTAAGTCAGAGGAGAATATGAAAAACCATTTAGGTAAATAACTAATATTCTGAGGCATAAGTGAATATATTGGCAATGCGACTCAAATCTGTTAAAATCAGACTGAACTGTTAAATCAGACTGAACTTTGGCATTTACTTGTATGCTTGCTTTATTTAAATATGGCCGGATTCCAATCAGATCCTTATTGATCTTTGGCCGAGTTAAGATATATTTATGGTAGGCATTCTCAATAACGAAAATGGCCCTTATGAATTCTTTAAAATTAATTTAAACCACAAATCGTCTAGTAAATATTATAGCGACGACAGATGATTAAAAATTAATGTGTATCGACAGAATGTACATATTTTTCTTACATTGGAACGACTTGCGACATAACGTGGCGGTATTAATGCAGTGGTTAGAATTTTATACAAACTTAAAAACATTGGAGTACATACCTCTTGTCCGAAATTAGCAATAGCTTCTTTTACAGCGATCATGTTAGCCGACGTTAGGATGCTCTGTATATCAGCACCACTGTAGTTTTCGGATCTCTCGGCAAAATAGGCGAAATCCACAGTTTCATCGAGGCATAGTGTTGCAGACAATGATTCAAAAATTGATAGTCGTGCAGAAAAGTCCGGCAGTGAACATTCTACCAATCGATCAATACGGCCTGAACGAAGTAACGCTGGGTCCAATAGTTCTGGGCGAGATGTTGCAGCTATGACCGTTACACCCTGTAATCCTTCAACACCATCTAGCTCGGTTAACAACTGATTTACAACACGGTCAGTTACACCAGTAGAATCATGACCACGTTTGGGTGCTAAACTATCAAATTCATCAAAGAATAGAACACACGGCTTTGCACTCCGTGCCCTATAAAGAATGGCAATACAATTACTGTTCCGTCAACCTTTGGATATATTTTTTATTTTATAACATATATTTTTAACTTATAACAATTAGTTTAATGTTCTCCAATTATTATTCAGGTCCATAAAATTGACTTTTATTTCACTACTATTTAATGTAAACATTCCCATGCCAGTAATTAATATATACTTTTTACTATTTAATATCACCGATCAACAAGTTCTGATTTTGTTCTTGAAACCATAGAAACCTAGTAATATCGCTCCTTTGCTACAAGAAAGGCATAACTCAAAAGAAGCGATTTTGCAGAAAATGCGTTTTTTAAAGAGAACAAGCGTGCATAATTAACTCGAAAATCACGTTTTTTGAGTTATACCTCTCTTGCAGCAAATGTGTTTGGGTGTTTTAGGGGGATTTTGATATCATCATGTGGTAAATAAAAAACGGTCACCCACAATCCTGTCAAGCTAGTATGTATAGTATTCACGGTGATGCAATTCCTAATGTCATAATTAAATACATATACATATATGACCGGTAATCTAATAATAAATATGCGCCGAAGAAATATTCAACTACAATGAAAACTACATCTTCGAAAAGTTATCCAAGTAGAAATATTTTGAATTAGTTTTACGTATATCTCTTTTAACATATAGATGTATTTGTAACACTATAAAAAAGTAAGTCCAATGAAAGAATTATTTCTACTACTGTTTTTCAACGTCCAGGACAAAAATATACAAAATGGTATAAATTAATTAACTTACCTATTGAATAAATTGCGAACATTCTCCTCACTTTGTCCTATATATTTTGCTAACAATTCTGGACCCTTGACAGATATAGTACGCAGGTTCCACATTTTAGCAAGTTTCGACACTAAAAACGTTTTTCCAGTGCCAGGAGGACCATACAGAAGAACACCAGCTTGGTTTCGTAATGGCGATTTATTGAAAATTTTTGGATACTAAATGAAATTTGTTAAAGAAATACTTTTACTCCCCACACAACTCACCCGCGATGGCCACATTAGAACTTCCTCTAGAACGGATGTTACAGATTCCAAACCGTGTACCTTGTTTTCATCACAAGTATCATCCATATCGGAATTTTGATCTGTGGACTGGTGACTCTCTATTCCTCTAAGGCAGTACGAATTTGTGTTTTCCAAAGATTTTTTCAAATGTTCATTTAAAAGAATTGGACGTGTTTTACCTTCGAAACCATAAAATAGAAATTTATATTGATAGATGAAAATCGCTAAGAAAGTTCAAAATTGGACGGAATTGTAATATATTCGTGTATGTTTTAATTGTATTATATTTACGTAATAATAATTTTATTTAGTCATTAAGAATATTTTTAATTACTGTTTGTCTTGTAGTTCATTTGTACCAAAGAAATATTTCAAAGTTTTTACCAAAAAAGTTTAAAAATTATTAATTATGGTATATACTTAGTTTTGCGGAAGTGAGCCAATTTGGCTTATGCAAAGACATTTAATTTTTTTGTGAAGAAAGTGGTTCCAAATTAATTTATATGAAATATTCATTATCATAGAGCTCATAGAAAACATATTTTAAATATATATCATGTTCGACGATAAAGAATATCAGATAACCCCTTCCGGTACCTCCCCCACAAAAGACCAACACTTTGTTGGAAAATAAATTTACAATATCCTGCAAAGGCGTTATCCGTTTTGATCCAAACGTAGCTCAACTATACATTTTTACCAAATCTATATCATGATTGAATTTGGGGATTTTCGGTCCGCTCCTTCTGGTACCTCCCCCACAAAGGGTCAATATTTGAAAAGTAATATTTTTATTATTTTTACCAAAATTTAAACTAAGTGCACGTATAGCATCAACCCAAATTGGTTTTACTGCAAGCTTAGTTACTACAAATTCGCCAAAGGAAATGTTTATTGGTCGGTAATTCGCCCTTTTCCAAGAAGGGGAAACCGTTTAGAAAATATTTGATCTCACATCGCATGACAAACTAAATTTGATACCTTATATGCTCCTCTAGCAACTAAAATTGCTATTAAGGCGCACAATTGGAATTCTTGTAATCATTCATTCTTTTTTATTCCAAGACGAAATTATATATTACTTCAATGCACTGCAAACAGCCAATAACTGGTAAAACATTGCATGAGCCAAATTGGCTCACAATTGTAAAAGTAGGTACGTAAGGTATCGTTCAAACAATTTCAGATTTATGCTCGTTGAACGGTGACATTTCGCAGTAAAAAAATAATTTTGCTGTTTTTTGTTTGGTGTATTCAGTTCGGTACATTTTACAGTTTTTCTTTGACAAAGGCGAAAATGCAAGCCAAGCGGCTAAAATGGTGAATGGTGTTTATGGCTCCTATACTGTAACAGACAATTATGTGTAATTTTGGTTTCGTAGATTTCGCTCAGGAATTCTTGATATTAAAGTTTCACCTCGCACAGGACAAAATCGGAGAAATGATCGAATCCTCTATACGCCTCTATACGTGAGAATTTGTTTTTATATACGTCCCATTTACTTGAGAATTTGTATATATATACATATATATGGGCAATATTGCCAATTTTTTAACATAGCTGAAGCGGAGGTTCACCCCTTTATAACTCGGGAATTACTTAAGTATATGAAAAAAAGTGAATAGTTTTGGGTTAATTGATCTCTCGTTGCAAACTGTTCATGATATTGACCTCCAAACTTTATTTTGGTGGAAGCTGTGTCTACTTTAATGTAAAAAAATGTGTAAAAACAGGTTGAGGCGAACCAGTTTTTTTATGTTCTCTATCGATTTGTGACTAAGCCACTCATTTCACGGTCTTCGTGTCAAAGTAAAACTAGAAGCCAACAAAATGGGGACTACGCCCCTTATGTATCATTTTTCAAAATTTTCACTGCATCTACCTTTAAATGATGCTGACATTTTGAAGCTCGATTTTGAGTGTTTTTTTAATTTTACTTCTAGCTTTAATACGCGAACATGAATTTCTAGAAATCGATTATAAGATTATTGTAGTCGCGAATCTGCGTAATTTGATATGTATTTTGTGTATGTAGTATGCACAGCTTCAGAGTAATACTCATCCGAAAGTGGAAATTTTGTGCGATCAAATTTCTAAAAAACCTATTTTTCGGGCCAAATTTTTAGATCTGTCAACTGAATGATATGGGTACCCGCGATCAATAAGGTTTTTTACATTTCGGATGATATAAAATCTTCTTCATGAAGATCCATCTACTAGAACGGCGGGAACTGGCCTTCCAAAAACACGAAATTTGACAAAAAATGTTTTTGAAAATATCGCGGATTTATTTGCGTTTTCTGGGGATCATTTCCGCTTCAATAAATGACCTCATACGGATTTTGATCTTTTTCGAAAAGAGAATTTTAAAAACTTCAGCCGAAAGAGAGATGTACCCAATTTATCTCAAAAATAGTGTGAGCTGGCACATCCATGGTTCTTAATGGACCACATTGAAATCGGTATATATCGATGTATTTTTTTAGGGTGCACACCGAAATCGGATGCGCGTTAATGACATATGGAGTTTTCGGAAATCATTCGCGTTTTACGATTTTTTGGGTACTTCAATGCAACGTGTGGCACATCTTAACCGTCAAATGAAATTTCGCAAAATATATATGGATTGGAAGATAAACTTCAGTACTTCCTGGAAACCGCATGCGCATCAAATGATTTTGAGAATTACGCGATTTAGACGCAATTTAAAATGTATATTTCATAATATTATTTTATTTTAAGATTTATTCCTATTTATAGAATTCTAAGATTTATGGGAAGGGTCTTGATATAATCCGCAAGGCGTATACTTATACACAAAAAGTGGTTATTATTATATATGTAAATTTTTCGGCGAAATTCGGGTAAAATAGCAGAATAACCCCAACATTTTTTCTGAAATTTCTTGTATACAATTAAAAAAATAAATTTGATGACATTATTTTTTCAACCAAAAACAAATATTTTCCTTAATATCTTGTTTTGTTGTCGCTTTGATTTAGAAACCGCTACACGGACTTGTGTGATTTTGATATCAGTTGATTCATCATGGTGTTTAGATTATGTGGATATTTTTAAATTATTTTTTAGGTGTGTGTATGTCATTAATATATTAAAATTATTGATGTAATATGCTATATATTTTTTATTTGTCTCATATTTCGCGAATATGTGCAACTTTATCGTGATTATTATAATATATTCATATTCTTATTTTACGGAGGAAGATATATATCAACGTTTTTGGTCAATATAATAAACGGCGTAATTTTAAGATTTTTTTCTTATGCCCAAAATTAAAACCTCGATAACTTTTGCGCGCATCAACCAAAAATTTGATCGCGAACGGTTTCGGAGTCAGAACATTTTTCTCTATATGTGTACCAAAAATCATTGATGTGCCACAAAAACAAAAAAGCTGATTTTTTGAAAATGGAATATTAAAAAATTGGCAATATTGCCCATATATATATATATAATCGAATTCGGTTAAGCGAAAACGCCTAATTTCAAAAAATTTGTTTCTCTTAAAAGAACTTCGGATAAGCGAAACTCGTTGCGTTTAAACGAAGTTCTCAATCAATATCTGAAAAATCATAAAATTTATAAATCATATTTTTCGTAGACATTTGCTTGGGTGGTTGGATAAATTTACATCATAATTTTAGGGTTGCACATAAAAATGTTAATGAATTTCATCGCCCTTACAAAAATGATATTTTTCTCATAAACGGTGCTCGTTTCATATATATTTGTGTTTTTGCAAGAAAAAAGGTCTTTCTCTTATACAGATTTTCAATTAACCGGTTTTTTTATGCGAAGTAAAGTGTTAGAAAATTCATCCGAAATATTAGTTTAAAATGTTTTGTTTTAATTAACCGGGTTTTCGATAAACCGGCGTTCTCTTATCCGAATTCGACTGTATATATATATATATATATATATTTTTTTTTGCGTGAAGATTTGGTACCCAATTGGAATCCAACATACCAAATTATAGTCCATATCAAAATCCTACAGATCCGGATATTTTAGGATACCGTTATGTGGGCGCTACTCTAAAAATTGGACAAATATTTTAAGTACAAAATACGTCTATTTCGGTATAAAAACGTGCCGTGATGGGAAGATTTGGTACCGAATAAGACCCAAATATGAGGACTATGCCAAAACGTGGACCAATGCAACCGGTTATCGAACTTGACCTGCCTGCACACAAAATACAACATTATTTAAAATGTCAGCAACCTATCTCAACACTAATCGTCAACATAATCGACCATTATCAACGTACCACTGTCTATTATCTCTTCCCTATCCCAGTTAAACTATTATATTTAATATTGGATCTGTTGTTTAACTTAAGATTAAAACATTTGGTATTGGTAAATGTAATACCCTGTATTACTGTCTGACGTATGGAGTGAATATGTCAAATACTTACTTAATCTATAAGCATAAAAAATAGCTCGCTCGATAAATTGTACCAAATCGCCCTTGTTGTAGCCTTCCGTTAGAAGGGCATACCGCCCAAAATCAAGTTTATCCGTTTCAATATGGCTGCAAAGTTCCTTGAGTACAACTTCTCGATCGTTCCTTTCCAACCCCGGAAGATTTACAATAGTCTGGAAAAGGTGGCGGCCTCGAGGTGAGTATAAACGTTTATTAAGCGAATGAACTTCGTTTGATGTAGCTATAACGGCAATCGGATGATGAGTCGTATATTGAGCAATAAGCTGATGGACAACGTCGGCTATTCTATTGAAGTATTCACTGTCTTGAGTTGCCTGGTCATTCGATGCGTGTGCCAGAACATCTAGATTTTCCAAAACCACAATGGAAGGGGCATTTTGTAAACATGTTGTAAATACTGTACGCAAATCTTTCTGTACGGACTCGGCCTATTTTTACCAGAAAAATATGTTAGAAATACATATACATACATATGGTTTTATTATGTTTGCAAACATACCTTTCGTCCTTTACTGCGAGTACAATTAAATATTTCAAAATGGCAGAAGAAAGGTTTGCGAACCAGCTCATTAAGTATGCGCTCAACCAGAACCGTCTTTCCAGCACCAGACGATCCTAAAAAACCACAAATACTTAATTATTTTGAATTAAACATCAATGCAGCCTACCTGTCAAAAGAATATTCGCCTGCCTTAAAACCGAATTTTTGGAATCTAAACAAAGATTACTTCTCAATTCGCTTATCAGATCCTCAAGTTTTAAATCAAAATCACGTAGCTTTATAATATCTTTCGAAAAGAGTGGAGATACTACAGGTGGACTTGCAAATAGGATCTCATCAACGTTACGCACCACATCAGCTGCATATATCTTACTTTCCTTCAAAAATTGCGAATCGACTGCGCAATAATGAAAGTGTTCTGGCAGAATTCCAACGGTCACAACAAGGTCATCTTCTAGGCGCACAACCTCATTTTGGTTGAGCAAAAGCGGGCTTGTCTCAGTCTTCTGTCTTACAAAACGTTTAAAAGCGTTCTCAATGACCTTATAATGTGTTTTCTTGTGAGCGAACAATTCTATTTTTTCCACAAAGTTGACAACCATAGGTTTGGGCTTAAGAACAACTTTTTCCAATTCTTTCAATTTTAAAATTTTAATCAGATTTGCACTAATTTCTATGGTGGGATGAATGGTTGGCAATAATTCGCTTGCACTCACTAAATGTATACGAACGTAGTATTCTCGATCTTCAATTGTACGCAGACAGTAAATTGACATGGGATCCATATTGGCTGGCCAGTTAACACCGTTAACGTAAACATCTGATATTTGTGAATCATTTGACCACGAACCAGATATAACTCTAAACTCGACAAATTTACACGCTTCTCGACATAAGTCTTTCTTCAAACGTTCCATTTTGTCAAGTCGGCTAGATTTAGCCAAGTTCTGATTATTTTTCATTTGTTTATTGGTCGACGATTTGGACAGTTGCTGTTTGAAACCGTCCATATGATCGCCATTAACAATACTAGATGTTGTTTTACTACGCAATATACCTTCGGCTTCTCCGTTCGAGTTGCTATGGGCCACGTCAGGCGATATAATCAGCTGCGTCGTATGGTCAATTCTTCCATGAGTAAGATTAGGTTTCAAGCGATCTACAGTAAAATATAAATGTAAAGTATCATATGATTAAACATGGAAGTTAAAATAGTATAATAATCGGACTCTTAGTGGTTGTAAAGCCTCAAGGGTTTATTTTATGTAATACTTACCAACAGTCAGCGCCACTTGAATAGATTTATTTACCCAAACTATTAAAATTTGATTTGAATTGACAATGCGCGTCTGCTCTAAAACACTATCCGAGATTTGGTCGCTACTGAGCTCCTGAAAAGGAAATCTAATTTAAAACGTTTGCTATTTTGTTATATGTGTTAACTCACGATTATCTCCCAATCCTTACTCGAAACTGGCGTAAGAAAAACATTTCGCAATATTGGCACATCTACGACAAGGGTGCATTTTACGAAATCGTTTTCATTAAGACCTGAAACAAATTTAACAAAAAAATCAAAATAAAAATTCCATAAATATTATATAAGATCATGGATTTCAATTTATTTTCATAAGCGAGAACCTAGCCCGATGGCCCATGAGCCTTCTTTACATGGACTACTCCTATAAATGTAACCCACATACATCTTGCTTATAAACATTCTCAACAACCCATACAAAAACTTTTTTTCTGATTTTATAGAGACTCTAATTAATCGGAAGGGATGAAATGCAGATCTAAACATGTTTATAATATCTAATAGGAACAAGTCTAGTTTATATTATTCTTATGAAATAAGTTCACATATTCTGAGATAGGGGTCTCCAAATTCCGCGGGACCCTTCTTTAATTTTGAATAAGCAATATGGTTTTTTGAGAGTAGCCGGCCTTCGGCCGGGGATTTAAGACTTTATCCTATGGACAGATGCTAACTACGCGACCAAATCTCCTTTTAATTAGAAAAGTGTTTGAGGGTAGCCGGCCTTCGGCCGTGGATTTAAGACTTTCTACTATGGACATGTGGCCGCTCCGGCTACGTGATCGAATCTCATTTCAATTTGAATAGGGTTTTTGTAATCACGACTTAAAACGCTTCAAATTGATACCCATGTTGCCTCAGTAACGTTATCGTAGCAAAAATGTAGTAGATTTTCACAGTATGGGAACAGACCAGTTGTTTACTTCCCGATGGAAAACAAATTCGAAAATATTTTTTTATAAATGAATAGAACTTTAGTGTACCTATTTAGCATTTTTATTCAAATTTAAGCGTATAACTATTGAAAAAATGCTTATTTTCCACCCATGTACCGACTATATGAACTTAGCTCGATGACACAGAGGTATATTTAATAAAATTATTAAGAATTCCGATTTAGCTGATGGCCATTGTAGCCAATGCTAGATACTTTTATTATTAGCATTGTATTTACTACAATGTTAATACTATAATAAATAAATAAATAAATAAAACGACATAAAGCGACATAAAAAAGGAAAACAAATTGTATACCTTAACCGAATGTTCCAGCTGTCCATAGGAAAAAGTCTTAAATTTTCGCCCGAAGGATTTATTTTATGCTTTGGATAATTTACAAATTTTCAATGTATCTCGTAGAACTAATTCTTGCACGTAACCACTGTGTTCAAGGCAAACCTTAATGTATAAAAATATATTTAGACAAACGCTCTGCTTCGCTTCTACATGCGATAATGCGATTAGTGCCAATTTTATTATTAGCTGCTATAAAGTCCACTCACCTATCTCTTTTGCAACTCTTGCGTTTATCGCAATTTCGTTGTCTTTACTGCTGCCTTCAGGGGCCCAAGATACGTAGTGTGTGCGTCCTTCGTATTGCAATTGTAGACAGCCATTGTCCTTAGCAGCGGTGGGAAAATAAGGTTCACTTTATTAATCTTATCGAATAATCTGAATAATCTTATCAGTTGTCACGTCTAATCTCGTTACTTGCCGCTATTACTTACATATGTGGACACCACCTTGTAGTAGCTTTCCGGCAACAATACAAAGTTGTTTTTAACCACAGGTCGTAGTACAACTTTGAAGGCACGTTTGAACATGTTTGTTTATATTGCCGCGCAACTGTTGCACTCTTAGTCGGCAAATGAAAATACAAACCTTGACTTATTTGGATTAATTTGACCAACTAAGGCAGACACTTTATAGGGAAGTGTATCAAATAGGACAATCCTCTACAACACTCTGGGTTATGATTTCAACAAAACTCTTATTAAAATCCAATAATTGAACTATACTATCCACTAGAGTTGGGTAGTTCCGGAACGAACTAGTTCATTGGAACTATTCCGAGAAAGGAACGAACGGAACTAGTTCCAGTTCTTTAATTAATATAATTCCTTTCTCTGATCCAGTTCCTTTTTTGAACTATTTGAAGCAAAGGAACTGTATGGAGCAAAGGAACTATAAAGAGCAAAGGAACTATATGGAGCAAAGGAACTATTTGGAGCATAGGAACTATAAAGAGCAAAGGAACTATATGGAGCAAAGGAACTATATATGGAAAAACGAAAAAAAAAAAAATAATAAAAGAGAGAGAGAGAGAGATTCAAAAGAACAGTGGGAAGCCTCCAAGACTCCAGCCTTCATAAAATTCGCTTGTTAATCGTCGTTCTGCCAAGACTCAAGCGACGTCGTACGCAAACCTTCGCCAACAAATGGCCTGTTCCAGTACTTTTTATACCCTCCACCATAGTATGGAGGGTATATTAATTTTGTCATTCCGTTTGTAACTCATCGAAATATTCATTTCCGACCCTATAAAGTATATATATTCTTGATCAGGGTAAAATTCTAAGACGATCTAGCCATGTCCGTCCGTCTGTTGTAATCACGCTATCTTCTGAAGGAATTGAGATAGGGTGCTGAAATTTTGCATAGGGTTGTCTTTTGTCTGCAGGCAGGTCAAGTTCGAAGATGGGATATATCGGTCCACGTTTAGGCATAGCTCCCATATAAGGGTACCCCCAATTTTCGGTATTTTGGGGTTCTTGAGCGCGTTTTTCAAGCGAATTTGTAGTAAATGTATCCACAAAAAATTATAAATATAGGTCCACTTTTTCTTGTAGCCCCCATATAACGGTACCTCCTAATTTTCAGTATTTTTTGGGTTTTTATCGTATTTTTCACCGAATTGACTGTAATTTAGTATTTTGAGTTCTTAGCAGGTACCAAATCTCTCCACAAAAAATTTAAATATAGGTCAATTTTTTTGGATATCCCTTATATAAGGGTACCCCCCAATTTCGGTATTTTGGGGTTCTTGAGCGCGCTTTTCAACCGAATTCGCTGCAATTTTGTACATTGGGTTCATATTGCGTACCAAATATCTCTACTGTAATTACATAGTTCAAAGGAACTACATTAAGGAACTAGTTCCTTTTTAAAAAAGAAACGAGAATGATCGATCCGCTACGTGAACTAGATTGCCCAACTCACTATCCACTATCCGGACTGCCACTAGGGATAAGTAAGTCGACTTTCAATTAATCGATTAATAGAATATTTTGTTTTGAAGTCGACTTTTGATCTTTGGGGAAACGCAAAGTAGTTTTATCAAAATCGATTTTTATTTTCTTTTGGTTTATTATACCAAAGTCAAAATTGTCTATAAATTGCACATTTCCGAACAAGACAATATTTATATAAAACATCAAATATGTAGTCAATTTTGCATCGGTCTACCGGTAGCAGTTGGACAAACCTTTTGTTGAGGATCGTGGTTCGCTAGTTTTTCTTTTAGCTCAGAAATGTCGATGTTTAATGGTGAGATTACACAATCAATTTCAAAATGCATAACTGACAAAGATGCAGGCATCATTCATGTATGCTGATGAAATTTTGAAAATGTTAAGTAAAATTTTACATATTTTTTAATGCTGCCTCAATCCTGTACTTCAATAGTTCATATTTTCGGGATTCCATCTCTATATGCTCAACTAAATGCAAATAGTACCAAATTTAGTACTTTTCATACACATAAGTACGAATTTTGAAAATTATCGATATTTAAAAAAATATCAATTAATTAATCAAAAAAAATCCTTTAATCGATTAGTCGAAAGTTGATTTACTTATCCCTAACCGACATTGTCTCGTCTATACGCAGAAAATATTTCTTATTAATTTTAAGTAAACTATTTTTAATGTAATCATCTTTGGAAATATTTTTTATTTGCAAGACTGCACTGATTAGAACATAGAAATTCCACGTGCTTATTGCGATACGGCCTGGAAAGATTTATTCTTATTAAACCAGCAAACTTAATTGCCCAGACACTTTTTGTGTATATCGGATGTGTTGTTGCTTTTTTTCTATTGTCTGAAGTATGAATATGTTAATTAGTATTGTCGAATCGGTACTGAAAAACAGGAAACGACTTTAAAGAGGCACGCGGACAAATATTTATTCGGACTTATTGCCTAAAAACGAGTGTAATTTTGGATCTATTAAACGAATTGGGCGATCAACTTTCGAGCTGTCCAGCAAAAGCAAGAGGGCTGTGTCGCACTGTCAGTGCGACGGTGTGGGAGGCGATATCATCATTGGGCGGTGCTGCCACTCTTGGTGCTGTACAAAGAGGGTCTTGTGACGGATGTAGTTCTTCCGAAATGGGAACTGTCAAGTCGAGGGACATATCGTCTGCCGACAATTCCATAGATGAAACAAATGTAGCTGCGTGCAGCTCAAGTTTGAAACAGGATCAAAATCAAAGAAGAGGTTTTTGCGGCAATGGAGGCTATTTGCAAAAAAATGATCTGTGCTACGACATTGGGAACAATTCCCACTACCAGCCGGTACGTCAGCCCAGCATACGAAGTCGAAGTCAACAGCCAATGCCAACGACGGAGGAGTTGGAAAGAAAATTTACAAAAGTGTTGGTGAGTAGTAAAATCAATATTTCCCCGTCATTTCCGTTAAACACACGCACATCATAATGAGAACTTCCTCGAGAGCTGTTATTGATGTTACAGTAAGTTTGAATAGCATTTGATCAGAAATGAGCGAGGGGTGGGGTGTGTCGGTCGCACGGGCTTCTTTGCAGTAGAAATATAATACCAATTAATGTTCTGACTCATTTATTCATCAATTGAAAGAAATACACATAGACAAACCAGTTTCTTGATTTGTTGTTTGTGTAAATGTACCCTTTCATCTGTATTCATATGTAAGAGCTCAGAACAGATACACCTCCGTAGCATGACATTAACGTAGGTAACGAACGACAAACATATGCATGTTTGGTGATGTGAAATGCACAAGTTGGATCTAAATTGAAAATTACCGAATGCATATCACTCATTATTTTGCTTTCATATCTTTTTCACCAACATCCGTATTTTATTTCGAAGACTATTTGGTTTAAATGCACATTACGGACACCTCTCAGATCATTTTGAAATTTGTATCATAGGTAGCCTTTCTGATGCTGATTACAGCAACAAAAATTTTTTTCGGGGGGAAATCAGTACTTCCAGAGATATGGGGTTCCAAAGTTCAAAAAAACCCCACTTTTAATTATTAAATATATATAAGAATACCACTCCGAAACGTTTAATTTTTTTTACAGCACATAGTCCTTTTGGAGCTGATTACAACCACAATTTTTTTTTTGGAGAACTTCGTACTGTAATCAGCATCAGAAGGGCTGCCTATGGTAAAAATTTCAAAATTATCTGAGAGGTGTCCGTAAAGTGCATTTGTTCTCAAATTTCCTTCTAAATGGCCGGACTTCGGCCGAGGATTTAAGACATTCTTCTATCGGCAGAATTTTCTCTTAATTTTATTTTTTCCTACTACCATACCACCGGAAGTACGAATATTCCCAAAAATAATTGTTGTTTTTTTAACCTTTTGTTTTTTATACAAAAAAATATAAATTCCTGATTATAGATAGAACCTATGGCTAATTACTTTTCATTCATGTTTTTAATTCTTTATAATTTTTTTTAGTTTTTGATACATTTTTATATTTTCTCATTGAACTGTAACGTATCAAAAAACATGGCTATTTTTATTTCGTTTTATTTCACAGTTTTCTTTTTTATACCATATTACACCCGAATGAGAAGAAATTTGTATTGAATTAAGTGAAAACAAAATTATCTTCTTCCACCTACATAGGTATATAAAAACCATTCAGATTTGTACTTTTCATACAACCTTTTTTAATTGTTTCTGAAAATTTTTGAAATTTTATATATTTTTTTTTTGTTTTTATTTTTACTATTTTTTTTTTAATTTTTGTTTACCACAACGAAAATTATTATTTTATGTAACGCTAGTGTCAGTTTGATATGTTGAAAATATAAACAGAACAAAATATAATATTATTGAATTTTCAGAATGAAATTGAAAAACATGAATGAAAATCTTGCAAATTTATAATTCTGTCGCTTCCAGACCTTTCCTTCAATAAAAATATGTTAAAAATAGCGCTGAAATTTTTAATTTTTCATTGCAAAAGGATTTGCTTCTTAAATTGTTAAATAATTGTGTTTTCTGCAATCTTAGAACAAATTTCTGTTCATAGATTTAATGCAACTATCCTAAATAGGGTATGCACAAAATTTGACATCGCTGCCTCCTTACATTCGGGAAATACAGTACATTTTTTTTAATATAACGTCTAAAACATTTTGTTGCCTGTGGGCAACATTGGGCCACAAAGGGTTCAGTTAATTAAAATTCTCATCTCGATTCATGGTTGTAAATCCGGTTCAGAAAAAAATGAAACGCCAATGCTATATTTTTCTGTCGTCTGCAGATTTGTGAATGTAGATCGATAAAGATAAATGTCACATTTCACAAAATTAGGTTTGTCCGATAACTTACTGAGTAAAAATTACTCAGTAACTTTTGTTGAGAGAGTTTGTTCTTTTATGCGAACATATTGGAAAAAGTTCTCGAACAACATCCAGTAAAAAATCAAATGTATGTGTAACAATTTGGAGTTGTTAAAAAATCAGATGCAAAATAAGAAATTTTAATAAATTAATTTTATATATTTCATGCCATTATAAATTGCATATTGCTTAATACCTCCAAAAACATTAAAATATTCAGGCTATTGCATTGATGAAAAAATAATATACATGTATTTGACAACAGTACATAAACATGAAAGTTGTTTTAATTTATCAAACAACAATCAGTAACATTTTTTTACAAATTGTTACGAGTTATTGGGATATCAAATAAACCTATTGTGTTGGATTCTTTTCTGGTTCCCTATATATTAAAGCTTAAATTGTACTATCGCATTTTCATTCGAATATGTGTATAAAAATTTACTGCCGGGTCGTTCTACATAAATCAAAAATGTCATATCGAACAGAAAATTTTGTATGAGGAGTGGAGAGTGAACAACGCCCGTCTCTTCATGAGATAAATCAATCATATGAAAAAACTTTGACAGAAAGAAAGATGTTTAACAATAACAGATGAATTGTGCTTACTCCCACTTAGCCATACTACTGTGTTAAAGCTAAACATACAATAATTACTTGAATACATAAGAGTGCGTATAATAATTGTTTTTTTTTTTATTGTTTTTAAGGCGTCTATGGATTTACCCCCCGATAAAGCAAAGCTCCTGAAGAATTACGACGATGAAAGAAAGTGGGATATAATTTGCGATCAGGCAAGTCATATTTAAAATAAGTGTTGTCATTTACATAATACATAAAATTCTTCATTGCAGGAAATGGTTCAGGCAAAGGATCCGCCTTCTCACTATCTCAATAAGCTACGAACATATTTGGATCCAAAAGCTTCACGAAGTCATAGGGTAAGTGTGGTATATCCAAATTCTCCCAAATGCATTCATTAACTTGGAGTGTATTGTGCATATTGTGGGACAACAAATAATATCTTTCATTTTTACTCCATAACTATGATTCTCTTTACCATCTCTTTCATTTTGCTCACAATTAAAATGTTCACACAATTGGTATCGTAAATTCTCGTCGGAACAAAACTAAACTTACGAACAAAACTAAACTTACAGCTTTACTTAATTTATTTTTTCTGTCAGAAACGAAAAATGGTTGGCGAATCCACATCTACACAGGTATTACGCGATTTAGAAATTTCCTTGCGCACTAATCATATCGAGTGGGTAAAGGAATTTCTTGATGATACGAACAAAGGGCTCGATGCTCTTGTCGACTACCTCAGCTTTCGCCTACAAATGATGCGCCAGGAACAGAGGGCCCAAGGTTCTTTTAGTGAGTCGGATGAACTTTTGATATTAAATAACAGTGGTATGGGTAACAATGGTACGGAGGCAATGGGAGTTATGTCGTTAAGTGGTGCAAGCACTACTTCCAATATTGGAGGTATTAGTAGTGTCAATCTTCTGGAATCATCAAGATACCAAAATTCAAATTCATCGGCGTTCAATGTAATCACAAACAGCATTTTGCGACCCTCGCTATTAGACGCCCTTGACAGCCCCAGCATTAAAAGACGCTCACGTCACATTGCTAAATTGAATATGGGCGCATCGACAGATGACATTCACGTCTGCATAATGTGTTTACGTGCAATCATGAATAATAAATACGGTTTTAATATGGTAATACAACATCGTGAAGCAATCAACTGCATAGCGCTTAGTTTGATACACAAATCGCTGCGCACAAAAGCTTTGGTGTTGGAACTACTAGCTGCAATTTGTTTGGTTAAGGGTGGGCACGAGATTATATTGTCATCCTTTGATAATTTTAAGAACGTCTGCAACGAAACACATCGATTTCAAACACTCATGGAGTACTTCATGAACTACGACGTTTTTAATATTGACTTTATGGTAGCTTGTATGCAATTTATGAATATAGTAGTTCATTCGGTGGAAGATATGAACTATCGCGTGCACCTGCAATACGAATTCACTGCTTTGGGTCTAGATAAATACCTTGAAAAGCTTCGACTAACAGAGTCTGAAGAGCTGAAAGTTCAGATATCCGCCTATCTGGATAATGTGTTTGACGTTGCTGCGTTAATGGAAGATTCCGAAACTAAAACTGCCGCCCTTGAAAGAGTTCAGGAACTAGAAGATCAAATAGAAAGAGAAATTGATAGAAACTCAGAATTATTATATAAATTGGCAGAGATGGACACGGAGGTTAGATTTCTGAAAGCCGAGAGAGAGGACTTGCTGACGACCAAACTCAAAGTTGACGAGGAGGTGACAACCTTACGACGGATATTAAAACAAAACGAACAGGAATTGAAAAAACGAGAATCTCTTCTGCAAAGCAAGAACCTTGAGCTTCAAACATTAACACGTTCTTTACCCCGGTCTAGTTCGAACGGAACCAGCTTATCTGATAATGATGCATCCATGAAAGAACCGTCCGTCGAATGTCCGTCTCCGCCGCTCCCCCCTCCTCCCCCACCACAAGAACAAGTGTCGGCGTGCTTGTCGCCACCACCTCCTCCGCCCCCGTTGCCTCCAGCACCACCACCCCCACCTTCACTGGGGGCAAGCTTGTCTTTAAATGTGTCTCCACCACTGCCAGTAACTAACGAAAGTGCCTTGACACCACTACAACAAAACCCAGCTCCGATATTGTTCCAACCTCCCCCACCCCCTGTAGCAGGGTTTATGCCAGCTCCAGATGGTGCCATGACAATAAAGAGAAAAGTACCAACTAAATATAAGCTGCCCACATTGAACTGGATTGCTCTCAAACCGAATCAGGTTGGAAAAACTGTTTGCTTTGTGTCAACATTTTGACAACATTTCTGTTACAGGTACGCGGTACGATCTTCAACGAACTGGACGATGAAAAAATTTACAAGTTTATTGATTTTAATGAATTCGAAGAACGTTTTAAAATTGGTGTGGGCGGCGGTTTATCGTCAGGCAACAATTCGGAAGTTGATGGCTCTCTGCAGTCGTATCCCAGCAAGAGGTTCAAAAAACCCGACAATATATCTTTGCTGGAACATACGAGATTAAGAAACATTGGTATTTAATCCATTTTTCCAAATTGATGGTATAAGTTATCCTATAAACATATTTAATGTGAATCTCTGTGTTACAGCAATTTCGCGTCGAAAACTTGACATGCCAATAGATGAAGTAATTTCAGCAATACACAGCTTAGATTTAAAGAAATTGTCGCTAGAAAATGTAGAGCTGCTGCAAAAAATGATTCCAACAGATGTGGAAGTGAAAGCCTACAAGGAGTACATCATCGAGAGAAAGGACCAAAACCTTTTAACGGATGAAGACAAATTTATGCTGCAACTGTCTAAGGTGGAACGAATCTCATCCAAGTTGTCTATAATGAACTACATGGGAAACTTCTTCGACTGTTTGCATTTAATATGTCCTGTAAGTTACTAGCGTCTACTCAATATGCTAAACAATGATATAATTTTATTACACTGCAGCAAATTCAATCCATAACATCGGCATCTACTTCGCTCAAGCAATCTCGAAAATTCAAGGCAGTACTCGAAATAGTTTTAGCTTTTGGTAACTATTTGAATAGCAGTAAGAGGGGACCGGCTTATGGGTTCAAGTTGCAGTCGTTGGATACTTTAATTGACACGAAATCAACCGACAAGCGTTCGTCCCTGCTCCATTACATTGTTGCGACCATAAGACAAAAATTCCCCGAATTACTCAATTTCGAAACGGAATTGTACTGTACCGATAAAGCGGCACAGGTTTCTCTGGAGAATATTGTCACCGATGTTCACGATTTGGAGAAAGGCATGGAATTGGTAAAGAAAGAAGCCGACCTTCGGGTGAAAGGGACTCAAACGCACATTTTACGAGATTTTCTCAATAACTCCGAAGATAAGTTGAAAAAAATTAAAGTGGAACTGAAAAATGCCCAAGAAGCGTTCAAAGAGTGTGTTGAGTATTTTGGAGAATCTTCCCGTAACGCGGACGCAGCTGCTTTCTTTTCTCTAATAGTTAGATTTACCCGGGCATTTAAGGTAATTATATATATATATATATATATGTATTTGAATGCATGTGAATGAATCATTTTTATCTCTGTAAATGCCCAGGCCTATGATCAAGAAAATGAACAGAGAAGAAGACTGGAACAGGCAGCAGCAGCTGCAGCATCTAAAAAGGAGAGCGAGCAGGTCCAATTACGGAACAAATGCAACCAGAAAAAACAACAGGTAGCTATTTCGCAAAGCTTATTTATGAAATCTAGACAATCGTTCGCAATTGCTTGTTTTCTCTTAATCATTTAATCACCATTGTTTCCATAAATACAATTCATTAGAAACTCGGTTGCGTGACTATGGAAAGCGGTTTATTACATAAAACGCTCATTAATTTGGCCTGACGGAACGACTATTAATGAGTGTGTATCCGGTTAAATTCTTGTATACTTATTGGAAAAAAGTTTTTGGTGGTGGCGGTGGGACAAATCTAATTGATTGTGGAAAAGTTGTTGGCCTACGTCTATCATTTTTTTTACTTTCGTCATCTGCTACGCAATAGTCCAAAAACATTGAGCACTCCTATTATAATTTGATAGAAACATACTATACCATACATACTATATCATATCTCACCATCATCGATTGAAATCGTCGATTCTCAACAGATATGACGATTTTTTACACTCGTTATTGCCAGTCACCAAAACGGCAAGCGTCTAAAAATTCAGAAAGGGAGTTGTCTCGGCCACTGTTTAGTGAGCATATCAGTAACTTCATGTAAGTGACTTATACGTGAGTTGTCTTAGAAGTAATCAATTTATTGTTCTCTAGCTTTTTTCTATTGTTTCAATTTGTGTAGAATACATTTACTAGATTATTTGCCCTTAACATTTCCAAAGTCATGCAACGACTAGACACGAAACAAGTTCATCAGTAGCTTCGTTTTCTGTTAGCATCTATCGGTTGTGGTCACTTATTAATCCTTATGCATTTTATTTTTCCTTTGCAATTAATTAACCATTTTGTCATGGACTTTCGGAAATCAATACTAAAGCTTCCTGCTGGGATATGTTTACAGGATGCGGTAATAAACGAACTGAAATGTAAAGCTATTTCGGTGCGAGAGAAAAAACTTTTACTTCAGGACGAAGTTTACAATGGAGCACTGGAAGACATCTTACTTGGCTTGAAAAGCGAGCCATATCGTCGAGCAGATGCAGTTCGTCGCAGCCAGCGCCGGCGTATTGATAATAACCGCCTTTCACGCACTCTTGAAGAGCTTGACGTCTAAAAAAAATATATATATAATACACACAGCAACACCAGTATCAGCCCAATCTGTGGGTGTTTTGCTCATTTAAACTGACAAAGCACACATAAGGGACTCAAAAATAACCCTAGTTATAAGAATCGAAAATATTTCGATATAAAAATTTTATGAGCCTATCGAAAATGTATTTTTATAATAACGACAACAAACGAGTTGTTCTATTTTACATTCCCACATTAGATTGCAATAACAACCAAAAATAAATATTTCTCGAGTTAACGAGCAGTTTTTGTATAAGCTTACAGCATTTTTATAAAAATCATATTCATATATATTACATAGAATCTCCTCGAATACAAAACGTATGTTTAATTATATTTTGTGAGAGACAAATATATAGCATACATAATTATAATTTTTTTATAAGCAATTTCTGTAGATTTTTTACTCTATTTATATCGAAATTATATCTAACACCAAATAAAAAATTATAGATTAGCATCTGAAACATTATGAAAAACTAATTCTGCGGGACTTTTGATAATTATATTTTTTATTATTATTAAGTTGCATGTACATATATAATTTATTATTATTTTTTTTTTTAAATTTTGAAAACAAATATGTATTGGTTTTAAACATCCATATATAATACATTACTTTTTTGTAATTTTGCAAAAAAAAAATTATACGAAGTTGTACTTTTGATTCAAGGTAAGTTTTTAACATTTTATTATCATAAATCTAATTCACGGTGTTTGAACTGTTTCATCCATAAGAGACAACAAATTGGAAATACAATTTATGATATTCAAAAAATTCCCTGGAACATATTCTTCAAGTTTAATTGAGATATCAAGCGTTGGTGTTATCGTTCCTTTGTGGTTGTTATTTTTTCGATAGCAAATAACGGATGGCTCAACGGATTTATACTGCTTATGCCTTAACATGGCCCAATTATCGGCAATTTTGGATTAAATTCTCCAAGCTGTCAATTTTCTGTTTACCAGCCTTATTCTGTATAGGGTGATATCTCGCACGTAAACTATTTTTCGCTTTCACATTCTCGCCTTATTCTGAATGAATAGGAACAAGGTAGATATACAAGGTAGCCGCATCGGCTAATTTCTACAACAAACATCGGTTGTTGTATTTTGATATGTCAAAAATATTTTGCCAAAACAAACAGATTCGCAAGATTTTTTAAACAAATTCTTGTAGAAAATTTTATACAAGTATTGGGAAACAAGCTCTTCGAAGTAGGGAGATTTTCATTTATAATTTTGTTTTTTTCTTTTTAATTTTTTGCTTCAACATTACAACAACATTTTTTGCATTTATTTGCACCAACAGCTGGGCCGATGCGGCTACCTTATTAAATATACCTTGAATAGGAAGAAGCAAAAAATGAATAGGTAGTCCATAATATAAAATTCACTGGAAAAAGTTTGTTCAGAATGAGTCGAAGGGGAAGAGCGACTAGACTCACGTGGAATTGATATCCAGAATAAGGCTGCAAGCATGATATAATAATAAGATGATGTATCAAAACAAAAACCTTTGTTTTTGTCAAGACATCAGCTGCTTTAAATGGACTACCTATTCATTGTGCCATGGCTGCAAGTCATGATATAATAATAGAAGGTAATAGCAAGTGTTCCCTTACTGCAAGAATCTACTAGATCTTACTATTTTCTTCGATATCATAAAGGAAAATTCGTTATCGTAGTAAAAAGTTGTAGATTCTTGCAGTACGGAAACAGACCATATATGTGTTACACATATGAAAATGCTGGGAATTGCGAGTTATTCCAAAAAGAAAGATTTGCTTCCTCAAACTTTCCCAGCAGGCCGATTAAGTAAATTGAATACGGGAGTACATTTAATAAAGAACAATTTCGAATCGTATGCGTTCCCAATTTTCCTGTTGGGTGATTTTTAAAAACATAATTTGTCATTTGACACTAGTATCACGTTGGAATCATGGCACACTGAATAGGTAGTCCATTTAGCGCAGCTGATGTCACAATTAACTGTCAATGTGGATAATTTTTACTTGAATTCGATGTGCAGTGTTTGGAATATTATAAGGAAAATTTTGAGCAAAAACAAAGGTTTTTGTTTTGATACATCACCTTATAATTGCATCATGGTTAGAATCAAATCAGTTGGGTTTTGCTGTTACCTTTTATAATTGTACCATGGCTGCAAGTATTTATAAGGAAAATCGATTTTGAAAAGCCGACTTTGCGATTTCCTCAAAAGTCGATATCGACTTTTTGACTTCAATACAAAAATTTGATTAGTCGAAAGTCGATTTACTTATCCCTACTACTGGCCCCTTATTTTCTGCTGCAAACGCATCAGTATATTTTTTTTATATTAAATTGTTATATTTTGGAGTAGTGGAGTAATCAATGACAAAAGGCGAGATCTTGAAATCTCTATAGTTGTCGTGTCAATATGTGGGGTATAAAACTATAAATGTCTGTCCCAGAAGGCTAACAAAGCTCCGAAAAAATTGCTCAATTTCTATTCTAAAAAAATATAGAAAAATTGAAAATTTCTTTAATAAAACTCTAAAATCGCACTTAACGATTCGGATTTCCCATGGAAATTATCAACAAAAATAACGTTATATAAAAAAGGTAAGCCATTGTTTTAAAAATAGAAAATAAAAAATAGTGCATTTGTGCATATAATCGAATGCTCGTTTTGTTGCCTTTCCCTGTCGTTAGTGCAGTGCTATGAATATTGAACATTTTGTGTGTATACACTGACACTGTTTACATTTGTCAGACGTCAGCTGTGAGATTGCTTACTGCTTGTGACTCGATTCATTCCGATTTGGTTTTTAGAGTGTACATTTTACAATTTTTTAGAATCCGAAAATTGTACGAGAAAATATTTGTTTTTGTCTTTGGATTTTTAATATGAGAAATATAATATTTTTACTTTTGTTGTTTTGTTCTGTAGCGAGTTAGCAGGGCACCTGTGAAAGACGCAGCGTGCACTGAGCGATAAGAGCAGAGGAAGAGAGAGACAGTATAGAAGCTGTCGTCGTTGGTGTTTTTAAAGAGACTCAAAATTGATAGAAACAACAAGAAAGCTGCTGCAACTGGTGCCTCTGTCGAGGACCAGCCGCCGCGCAAAAAAGGACGACGTTCAGCAGCAGGGGGTGCCACATCATCAGCAGCAGCAATATCAACATTGACCGAAAATTTCGCTGGACCAAATAATAGTGATCAAGCCAGTTCATTTTTATCGGGAGACACCGAAACGGCGTCAACTTCAAGAGCCGCCGCTGCTGCACAACAAGAGCGAATACGCAATCAAAATAATCACGAAAAACAGACAAAAGGTGATTCAGCAAATCAAAAAGCAAACAATAACAGCAATAACAAAGAAAACCATCAAGCAACGGAGAACAAACAACTCGGACAACAGCAACAGCATTGCAATCAAATCAGTGATACAGAAAAAAAATCGGGTGTAAATATGGATAATATTGGAGCGATTCCTTCCACCTCTGCGGGAATTGAAGCGGCATCTGGTGCCAGTAACCATGGAAGTGACTCATCCTCAAACATCAACAATTCTACAACTAATGGACACGATCCCAAACACAATGGATTCACTGCCAGGAATAATAACAACGCCATAGAACCGTCTAACAGTCGCGATGACCAGAACAATCACAACGAGACGAATAACACGATCTCTTGGTTAGGAAAGTCCAACCAAGAAATCATAAGACTTATTGGGCAATATTTGCAGGACTTGGGTCTCGAGAAATCTGTCAATACATTAATGTCCGAATCTGGTTGCTATCTAGAACACCCATCAGCAACTAAGTTTCGAGAGCATGTCCTTTCAGGAGAGTGGAGCAAAGCAGATGCAGACTTGAAGGTAAGTATTTCAAGGGGTATGACAGTGGGGGGGCGTGAACAAAGTATTCAGTATTTAAAGGCAGTTCTTGATTGGCACCTCACTTGATGTAAGAAAACAAATCAAATTGAGATGAGTGGGTTTTAGCGTAACAAAGTATTAAATTAAACCCTGTATAGCTGTTATCATTATAAATAAATTTCCGTTTTTCTGTTCCAGATCCTGCAAGAATATTATACTAGTCGAAATTTTATTTTTAATTTAATTTATTAATAAGTATAGTAACTATTTCCTATTATAAATTTCCTATTTTCCTATTATAAATTTGAATAGTTGTACCTTTTTTGAGTACAGGAATGGACCATGAATGTCACAATGTCTGTCAATGCCATAACTGGAACAAAATACATAAAATTGTTTGATAGTAGTTTCTCTATTTTTATATTTTTAGGAACTAGAACCGCTAATAGACAATGGGAAACCATCGACTATCACAGAAATGAAATTTTTATTGTTGGAGCAAAAATATCTGGAAAATCTAGATGATGGATGTCCCTTGGAAGCCTTGCATGTTCTGCGGAATGAGCTTACACCGTTGCAACATAATATTTCAAGGGTCCATCAACTCTCGTCATACATGATGTGTTCAAATAATCACGACCTTTACCAACGTGCCAAATGGGAAGGTAAAGGAATATTATCTCGAGCACTTGTAATGGAACGCTTACAGACATATTTGCCACCATCAGTAATGATGGCTCCCCGGCGCTTGCGATCCCTGCTGCAACAAGCCGTTGAGTTACAGACACAGAATTGCATGTTCCATGACATGGCATGGGAAACGAATCTGCAAAACGTGTCGTTGCTCACGGACCACTGCTGCGCCACCGACGGGTTTCCGCTCCAAACAATTCAAATTTTGTCCGATCATTGCGACGAAGTGTGGTTCTGCAAGTTCTCACCTGATGGCTTGAAGTTGGCTACGGGTAGCAAGGATGGAGCTGTCATAATCTGGGATGTTGATCCGTATAAATTGCAATTGAAACAACGTCGTGTTTTAGACAGTCAAACACAAATGAGTGTTGCTTTCATTAATTGGAGCCCCGACTCGAAAATGATCTTGGTTGGTGGACCAGAAGACTCGACGGAAATATGCATCTTCAATGTCGACGATGGTCGTTTAATAATGAAAATGGATAACATGAATCAAGAAGACAGCCTCTCCTGTGGGGCATTCAATCGAGATGGAACCAGGTTCGTGTGTGGTGGACAAAAAGGACAATTTTACCTATGCGATCTTAAGGGTACAGTACTCGATTCATGGGAAGGAGTACGAATCAATAGCGTAGCCTACAGGTCAGACAATAAAACGATATTAGCCGCAGATAACCATTACAGAATCCGAGGGTGAGTAAATCTTTTCGAGTGTTAGAAATAATACACTAGACTGGTGTCCTCCTTATTATTGCGCTTACAGGTATAACTTTGAAAATCCCCGATCAGATTTTGACGTATTGAAGGAATCACACCCAATCATGACATTTTCTGTGAACTCCGCAGACCGTTTAGCATTGCTGAACATTTCAAATCAAGGCCTGCATTTGTGGGACTTGGAGGACAAATGCCTATTGCGTAGTTTTCAAGGTATTCGCCAAAGCAATTTTGCTATACATTCGTGCTTTGGGGGAGTCAACGAGAGTTTCGTTGCCAGTGGAAGTGAAGACAAACACGTCTGCATTTGGCATATAAAAAGAGAGGAGCCATTGGCCAAACTGTCGGGACACGCTAAAACGGTTAATTGCGTCTCTTGGAATCCCGTTTATCCCTCCCTACTGGCTTCGGCCAGCGATGATTCGACTGTTCGCATTTGGGGTCCAACATCTACACATAACGTTAATTCTACACCCGAAAGTGATGACTGTTCGTCGTGTTCATCTTCCTCGTCGTGGAATATGACTTCCTAGAGCATAGTAGCAGATATGTTTGACGTCGTCGTAGTGAAAATATCTGGGCCCTTCGTTTTAAGATATTTAACATTATTATTATTTTTTAAGTAACACTATTATGCGAATTATAAAATTACTTCTGGTTAATTGTGTTTCAATCAAATGTACGCTCGACAGCAAACCAGTTTAAGAACTGTTGAAAAGGCTATACGGCTCCTAAACCTCGTTCGACATCAGGAGCAGAACAGAACATTGTCAAGTTCTACATAGAACAGTGTGATTCCTGATTCGAAGCATGGATTGCAATTCTACAGGCTGTTAGCACAAATCAAAGCCTCAATTAAATCACGGGGATGTGCTTGAATACGATACTTGTTACACGATTTCCATATATACACCATCAATGTGATTCGAGAATATAGAAGTAAAACATAAAAAAATATTGAAGTAGATTGATTTATTAAGTGATCACATAATTTGAAATATTCTAAGCTGGAACAACATAGATTGTAAGACTTATTTTAAACCAATCGCTAATAACATAGACGTTTAATTTTAAAAATATAGAATCCATACTGAAATCCTAGAATGGTACATTCGCAAGTGTTTGATTGGTATGAATTATATGTTTACATTGCAATACCGTGTTATCAGAAATTCCTTAGCAGCGTATATTGAAATTACAAGCACCGCCGATACCAAAGCGCGACAGCGGCTTACTACCATGTATGCGGACACCAATGCACATAAATGATGTGCTGTTACGAGAAATCGATGAAGCGATGCACCAAAATCGGTGGTGTTCTCCCGCCATAGCATTATGGGTAATAGAAAAAATTTAGAAAAATTTGCGAGTGCATAAGCTTTAAGCATTTGGTATCCCTCGCGCTTCGCACCAACAAAATCAAGTTTCGATCCACAAGCAATATTTCCGATTACCATCAACGATGTACATAAGACAAACTCTGTAAGAGCATTGGTTGGCATCAGTAAAACAATAAAACTATTTCTGACTTACCACCGATCTTGTGAGCACAACAGTTATAGAATCCATGTTCATACGGTGATGATGCGTTGGGGTTAAGATTTATTTTTTGCTCATTTTCACCTCTCCACAGGGTTAAGGACTCAAGTAATAACAATATTAGGGACAACTTCCAAAATAACTGCAATAAAACGATATAATTATTCTCTATAATATTTCAATAAGTTGTGTCTGTTTACACGATATTTGGTAACAATTGCTAACAAGTATTACTAGATGTTGTCTGTTTACTCTACAGTTCAGTAAAAGAGAGCAAAAGAAAGAGCAAGGTAAATTTCTTCCAGTAAGATTTATCCAGCATAAGTCGATGTATTTCAATCAGCCATTCATTTTAAAATTTGACCAAAGTAATATATATATATATATATTTTGAATTTCTTTCCTTAATAATCCTAAAAATAACATTATTTCAAGCATTTTTAATGAAATTACGAGATATTTTGCAAAATCTTACTGGATGTTGTCTGTTTACTTTTCTCAGTATTAGGCAAGAGAAAATTAAGACGGCTTATTAACTGAAATAGAACTTGCTGAGTAAATTTTACTGGAAAAGTAACCAGACAAACTATTTCGGAGTCAATGTCTCCGCAGCCTAAGTATTTCCAACTTGGCCGTAAAATGAATTCGTAGGTATATTTAATTCGTGTTTGTTATTTACCTTGAAATCTCTATTATGGAGGACATGACGGTAGGACGAATGTGACAACAGCATTAAGTCGACAATTATTATCACAGGTTCGAACTCAATATATTTGTCTGCGGTTGTTTGGCATTTGTCCTGCAAATAGTTTTGGAAATAATACATTTCTAGTTAAAGGATACAATGAAGGCTTTGCGTGCATGTAAGAATTTAAATAAATAAAAATTTCATATAAATAATAAGTATGTGGTTCTGGCTTATACATCACAAGCTATACTCGTCAAATTGCATTATGTTCCACAGTTGTAGACATTACGCACATTAGCAGCATTAAACTTACACAATTAATAGTTTTTATTATTTTATTATACTTCTTGTAAAGATTGCATAGTCTTTTACCGCAATTTATGCAGACATAATTTTCAAGTGGCATTTGTCCCATTATTTATAATTCTAATATTTAACATAATGTTTAGAAAATAGAGAGCAAAATAATAAGGAAAAACTTCTTCTTGATTCTTTATGGTTTGTGAGAATCACCTTGTAATGATAACAGCACTGTTATCAATGCGATATCAAACAAATACAACCTTATTCTATACGTCAATTGGTCTTATTTTGACCAGCATTTCACAGTGAATTTTACCTTGTTCTAAACGAAGTTCGAAAGTGAGAAATTATTTATTCTAAATCATTGGAGAATGTGATTGTTTCTGAAAAAAATATCGCCAATAAATGAAAGGCTATTTATCGTCTACATGGTTTAACGAATCATGAATAATGAAACAGAAGCGTCATAGTAGGTGTGTCTGGTTACTTTCCCTGCAGGAATTGTCCAGTAACTTCTTTCTGAGAGAGTAAGGTAGTTTTATTCTCTTTTGCAAGAAAAATGCGAAAAGTAAACAGACGGCATCCCTGCAGAAGCTTGCAACTAATCAGCTGATTTGTCAAAACAAACCAATTTGTCCGCCATTATAAAGAATTAAAAGAAAGAAAACACAACCAGTTTAACAAGTTTTTGAGCTATATTTTGTACCATTCCTACTTTTCACACAGAAATGTAAAAAAATAAGTTGGAAACCATCATAACTACCTTTCTGCATATCCAAATCCATATTTGGGCTTAATAATTTACTGCCACTGGCTACAGAGACACACTGATCTTCTTCCGTCATTTTTCTAAAAATGCTGGAAATAGTCTTTTATTTTCCTATTACATATTAATACTTACGTTTTTCTCGTTTTGTAAAGTTTTTCTCTAAAAACAATTAGTCTTGCTAATTCCAAAAAAAATTATTTTCAAATTGAAAGCACAAAAATAAATAAACAAACAATAGAAAACATCTGATTGAATGTCGATGTATGAGAAGAAGAAGAGTTGCAAGAGATTGCAAGAAGAAATTTTTCCAGCAAGAATTTGCAAACTCTCACTGAAAGAACTGTCAAAATTTCTCTCTCCAACCGCTCTCTTTTGCAGAACTTTTGGGTTAACAGACGACTTCCAGTAACAATTTGTAACAATTGTTACAAACTTTAGGGTAACCAGACACACCTAGTATTGCAATTGAGAAAGTGGGGAATACAAGATAAAAGGATTGGCGACTTCAGGTATGAGAGGAGATAGAATATGAATAAAAATGTTCATTGATGTGTAAAGAAATAATAAATGTGAAGCAATTTTAATTTGATGCAATATCGCAGATTTCTTTCCGTCATTTGTTTTTTAGCATCTTCCTCTTCATTGCTTCTCCATCTTCATTTAGAAGAAGGGAAAGAAAGTGAAACTTTTTCACCGGTGAGATCCCCTTAGGGAATGTTGAGAATAATAAGCGTTATTAATTAGATCAAAATATTTTTCGAAGCGAAAATGTTATGCTTTCAAATGTACATAAATCGTACAAATTAAGAGAACTCGATCGACAAAAAAAATACAAAAGTTAGCTTTGACAAAGGTATCGACATAATTGTCGTTTTAATTAAATTTTTGTCCTAAAATACACGAAATGTTATATCCGATCGTTTCTTAACGACCACATTATTATATAGTTGTTATTTAACAAATATAAAATATCTTTTCTTTCGTTGTGGGTGTTTGTCCCTTTACTTTTCGTTGAAAAAGTAAACGGTCCAAACAAGATTAATTGGGTATGTTTAACTGAAACAGTTGAAAAAGTAGGCGAACACAACATTATCCATCCAATTTATAGTTCCAAAACTATTTACTCAAAGCAATCAAGTTATTAATATTATATACTGCATGTCCGAATTTACCTATCCAACATTTGGCCTGTTTCCGTAATGCAAGTATCTACATGTTTTACTATTTTTTCGGCATCATAAAGTAAAAATTGTTATCGTAATATAAATATTTGCTTGCGGTATGGACCTATTATTTGTATACAAAATCTATAAAAACTAATTTTTCAAATTTTGGCCGTTTTACACCACCCTAATAAGTTTTCTTACTTCTTGCATTTTCAAAAAAGCAATAAGAATAGATAACTTTATATTGACGGTGGTAAAAGGTTAGTAGTTATAATATACCTAACAATTGATAAGGAAAACATCGATAAGCGCTACTAGTGTTTCATTATCATTATTGACCATTTACCGCAGACATATGTACATAAAAAAGAACATTAGTAAATCAGTACCAAGTGTTTGCAACGGACTTTAAAGTGCTCCTATTTGTCATGTACGTTAAAAACGAAAACAGAAACCAATGATTGTTTTGGGTCGCAAACAATTTAAAGGGATGGAATTTGCATTGTCACTCGTTCTCACTCTGAGTGTTCTTTTTGTCTACAACAGTGTTTATGGGCTAGGTGATAAAAGTTACATGAGAAGTAATAAAAGTGATGAACGTTTTCTAGAGGAGTCATATTCCTAACGAGAATTGCATTTAGATTACAGAACTCCTGGAGGACTTGAAGATCGAGAGGGCGAAGAAGACACATTCGAAAATCCATACGAAACGAATCTGAACTTCATTTACAACTTGAGCAGCATTGACTTCGACCCACTAATTTCAAAGCTTAATCGTGATTATGGACACACTTGCTTGCTGGATGACTTCAAAAATACGTTGTTGTGGTGGACATTTCCTAATGGAACACTTAAAAATAAGCACTTAATGCTTAAATGTACGTTTATTACATGATTGTCTACATACATATAAAGATGTGTATAATTGTAACTATTTTAGCAAAAATTGCCTTTATGGATCTGTCGCATCAACATACATTCAAGGATGAGGAATTACTTAGGAAGCTTCGAATACATGGGGGAGACGACTTTGTCGTATTTTCCGCAGCTCATAATAATTTGTCCTATGTGCCATATGACACCTTGTCTAGTATGAGTTTGAGTCTGAAATGCCTAACACTATGCGGCAACAACTTCAATCTTAACGCTGTGGATCTCCAAAATGAAGGTGAGTTCTTTAAATATATTTTGGGTGCAAGGGGCACTTGTTCAATTCTATTATAAGATTTTTTGCCTATGTGATAGATTTATATTTGTTTCTCGTATTTTCTATGTCTATAGACAGCCTTCACACAACGACATGGGCAACATTTCCATTCATGGCGAACCTAAATGAGTTAGATGTAAGCAATTGCAACATACAACATATAACACGATATTCTTTTCGAAATTTAACAAGCTTGAGAAGGCTATACATGTCGGGCAACAAAATTTTGGAGTTGCAATCCGATACATTCCATCACATACCGTCGTTGGAATATCTGGATTTGTCTTTCATGAATATGTTTGAATATACGTCCATTCCAACAGTGACTCTGGATACAGTATTTAGACAATTGTACGGTCTCAAGATACAACAGACGCTATTTAAAGACCTACCCAATCTCAAGTACTTGGATTTTTCCCACACAAAGTTGTCTAGAAACAGTGCAATGGCTTTTACCCATCTTGGCAACAATTTGAAGTATTTAAGTTTATGTTACACTGGATTTCCTATGATCGGCAATGCTATTTTAAGGAATACAGCACTCGTGGCACTAGACTTCTCGGGAAATGTATTTGCTGCATATAACATACTAGACGATTCTTTCGAAGGTGTGGCAGGAACTTTGAGTGTTCTCTTTTTTGAATTGTCAAACTTGAAAAATATATCGTGGATCCGAAGCCTCAATAACTTGCGCATACTCGGATTGGCCGGCAATAACATAAACTCGATATCTTTTGAAATGTTCAATAACTTAACAAGTCTGGAAGTTCTAGACCTCAGCACAAACCACATCGGCAATTGGTATAGCCGAGTGTTCACCAACAACGAAAAACTTCGTATTCTCAATCTCAGAGACAATAATATCAACATAATTACTTCCGAAATGCTGAAAGATTTCAGTTTATTAAATTTATTGAGTCTGGGAGACAATAACTTTGTTTGCGACTGTCTGTTAAGGGATTTGGTTGACGTTAGCAATGCTAATAGCAGAAACATGGATTGCGCCCATGAAATAATCGAAGAAGCTCTGGAATATACCTGGGACAATATCACGGAAAACACGACAGCGGCCAACATTGTAGCTTCGCATACCCTGAAGAGGCTGAATAGCAAGAGCAGCAAACGAATAGGAAATAAAGAACTCCATAGCGTTTTAAAGAAGATTAGATATTTATACAATCGGACTGAAAAATATCAAAGAACATGTTCCCCTCAATCGCCGCAAGCTGGTTCAGTTGTGATGAGTAAGCTTAACGATTCGTCAATGTTGAAGTTCCAACTTTTAGATTACAAGGATGAAAACTACTGGTGTTTTAATGAAACTGAAAAATTGAGTTTTTTTGAGCTGAACTGTCACCAGCGGTCTCTTGTCGATGATATAGTACGGCAACTAGATAACCTCACCTATTATGTTGTTGTAATCATAGGAACTTTATTGGCAGTTTCTCTCGTCGGTGTAATAATTTACGTAAAACGGTGGCACATATACTATTACTACTCTTCCATTAAATCCGCTGCTTTGGTGTCGGAGACTGTCAAGGATAGCAATGAGAACCTTCAGTCGTCCCATGAAAATGGTGGCGCAAACATGATCTATGACATTTTTATAAGTTATTGTCAAAGCGATCGCGAATGGGTACTCAATGAACTTATGCCTAATGTTGAGGAAAATGACGATATAAAAATTTGCTTACATGAAAGGGATTTTCAGGTGATGTGTATTTTTTAAAAATCAACTAGAATCGATTACTTATTTATCTTATATGATCTTCTATCCAGATCGGAGTCACAATTCTCGACAATATAATATCATGCATGGATAGATCCCGATCGTTGATGCTTATAATATCATCTTCATTTCTTCTAAGCCACTGGTGTCAGTTCGAAATGCACTTGGCCCAGCGAAGGTGAGAGAGCATATCTTGGAATTTTCTGTTGGGACTGATTCTATTTTCGTTTGCAGGATGTTTGATGTATGTCGGGACTGTTTGATTCTTGTCTTTCTGGAAGAAATACCACGACATAAAAGACCAAAAAATTTGCAGTACCTTATGGACTTGAAGACATATATAAAATGGCCAGGTGGCAAAAATAGTAACAAGTCGCGGCAAGAAGAATACAAAATATTCTGGAAGCGTTTGAAACGTTCAATGCAGAGAATTGCTGCCGACACTGTCCAATAAAGCGATAAGGAAAACATGTATATACATATATAATTTATACTTATAAAAATGTACCTGATGTATTCTTAGTTCTTGTTTAAAAATACTTATTGTATTTTGTTTTAATTTGTTTGCCAGTGCTACGCTGAGAACTTACAGTATGTTACTGGGTAAATTTCTTCCAGTAAGAGTTATCCAGCATAATTCTATGTATTTCAATCAGCCGTTAAGTTTAAATTTTGACCAAAGTCAAGAAACATTTTTTATTTTATGAACTTTATTCCTTAATATGTCTAAAAAGAACATTTCGAAAATATTAAATGAAATTACGAGATATTTTTATTTTTTTTTTTTTTTATTTATTTATATATTTCATAGTGCCCAGTCTTTCGACCTTAAGGCTGTAAGCTACATTTCACAATTAAATATAAAATTTATCGTATTAAGCGGCTTAAATGTAAAAGAGAGGGATATTGAACTACTAAAGAATATTATACCGATTAAATTACAAAAAAAAAAGTTTTTAATTATTATAGATTATGATTAAAAAAATTTGATTAATTGGATTATGACTACTCCAGTAGGAATGGAATGGAAAATTATTATATATAAAAATGAGTTGTGTTTTTATCTAAATAATTTGTATCACAAATATAAAAAAATTTAACATACATACGTACATTAAAAAAATTTAATTGAATTTGAACTTTTGTAAAATCTTACTGGATGTTGACTGTTTAATTTTCTCAATATTATCCAGAAAAGAATAAAAACGGCTTGCTCTCTGAAATAGAACATATTGTGTAAATATTACTGGAAAAGTAACCAGACACAGCTATCATTAGAATTCGCATTAAAGTCTCAGGCAAGTTAGATATATATATCGTCAGCTAAAATGCAAAAAGGCGTAAGTAGCAAAAGCATAATTGTGTAGGAGAAGCAAAAAACTGTTTTGAATGAAAACTATAAACATGTCATGTAAAATGAAAAAGTATGCCCGGCAGGGTGATATTGCATATGACTAGAGATGGTATTTACCGGGTATTTACCCGGTAAATACCCAAGGGGTGGGTAAATACCGGGTAAATACCCATTTGCGGGTATGGGTATTTACTACATGAATCGGTAATACAACATCTTACACCCTATTTCCGGGTTTCTGTAACAAATCGATTTAGAATGGATAGTTTTACGATACTTTAAAAACGTGGGTAAAAACTTGGGTAAATAAGTTTTTACCCAAAATTGGGTATAAACTCATTAACTGCAGAACCACTTGACATAGGCGGCCAAAATTTTGCACACATGTTTCTAATGTCAAAGCAAATGTCAAGTGGTTCTGCAGTTAATGAGTTTATACCCATTTTTTGGGTAAATACTCAAAATAGGGGTACCTTTGTATGGGGGCTACCAGTAAATATGGACCTACATACATAAATTTTTGCATGGACATTTGGTACCCAAAGAGAACACTCTGTGCCAAATTACGGCCAATTTGGTTGTAAAATGTATCTAATAGACAAAAAATACCTTAAATCGGGAGATATGGTTATATGGGGGCTATATCAAAACTTGGACCCAGGGACCCCATGTTGGATTTTTATATTTGCTTTGACATTAGAAACATGTGTACAAAATTTTGGCCGCCTATGTCAAGTGGTTCGGCAGTTAATGAGTTTATACCCTATTTTTGGGTAAATACTCAAAATAGGGGTACCTTTGTATGGGGGCTACCAGTAAACGTGGACCTACATACATAAAATTTTGCATGGACATTTTGTACTCAAAAAGAACACTCTGTGCCAAATTACAGCCAATTTGGTTGTAAAATGTGACTAATAGACAAAAAATACCTTAAATCGGGAGATATGGTTATATGGGGGCTATATCAAAACTTGGACCCAGGGACCCCATGTTGGATTTTTATATTTGCTTTGACATTAGAAACATGTGTGCAAAATTTTGGCCGCCTATGTCAAGTGGTTCTGCAGTTAATGAGTTTATACCCATTTTTTGGGTAAATACTCAAAATAGGGGTACCTTTGTATGGGGGGTACCAGTAAACGTGGACCTACATACATAAATTTTTGCATGGACATTTTGTACTCAAAAAGAACACTCTGTGCCAACTTACAGCCAATTTGGTTGTAAAATGTGTCTAATAGACAAAAAATACCTTAAATCAGGAAATATGGTTATATGGGGGCTATATCAAAACTTGGACCCAGGGACCCCATGTTGGATTTCTGTATTTGCTTTGACATTAGAAACATGTGTGCAAAATTTTGGCCGCATATGTCAAGTGGTTCTGCAGTTAATGAGTTTATACCCAATTTTTGGGTAAAAACTCGGGTATTTACCCAAGTTTTTACCCACGTCTTTAAAATATCGTAAAACTATCCATTCTTAATCGATTTGATAACATAAACCCGGAAATAGGGTGTAAGATGTTGTATTACAGATTCAATATAGTAAATACCCAAATAAATACCCACAAATGGGTATTTACCCAATTTACCGGGTATTTACCCAATTTACCGGGTATTTACCCTTTGGGTATTTACCCACTGCCCATCTCTACATATGACGAATAATAGACTATAATTTTTTAACAAATGTAGTTATTTAGTTTAATGGCAGTCATAACAATTAAGTAAAACCGTGAATTTTTTGTTAGTTACGCCCTTTTGCATTTATCAACTAAACCCACTTGTAGTTACGTCTTTTTGTTTTTTGTTAATAGAAGCTCCTTTTTTGACCGCAGACGTGTAAAACTTTGTCAACACATGTAGTTTATTGACAATCACAATATTCATTCAAAAAAAAATATATATATATATATTAATATACCTTCGTCTCAGGCATTCCTTTGATTGGTTTTCTTTCTTCAGCCCATTTGGCTATCAATTTAATTGGAATGCTCCTATTCCGAGGGAAACTAAGAAGAAGCATTTACATTTAGTTTTGACAGCTGTACAGTTGTTGCTGTGGGTGAAGGTAATACTAGAAAACAAAGACCGATCAATTGTGTTTATTTTGTTTACTTGCTTAATGGTAGGTAACAAAAAGAAGAAGATAAGACGAAATACACTTTTGAATTCAATTTGTGACATATAGAAGAACGGAAAATTTACATCCTTACAAATAAAAAGTCCATATTTTATAGCTGCGCACATATAAAACAATTTAACAAGACCCATAAGCTGCCGTAGCCAAATGTCGACTCCTAGGAAAAATTACAATTCTTACAAATCACCCTATTCTAAACCTGTCCAGCCATATGCCTCGCAGAACGACGATTACATTTCATTGGAAATGGGTGGAAGATGCCATGAAGGAAGAGAAGTAAACGGTGGTGTGAATTACACGAAGAGAACTAATCAAAGGCGTACACATTGCTATGGCGGACATAATGAGAATTCCCAATTTAAGAGTGGCAGCGGGCAAAAATCTTGGTGTACAAGGAAAAATGAAGGAGGCAACTCAGGCTCGTATCGAATATCTAATTTTAAACAAAGCCCTAATTTATCAGTTTCATCATACATACATCCGTCAATGACGGAAGATCCTTGGTCTGATTTAATGGCACGCATAGAATCGTTGGAGAAAAGTGTAATTACGTTAAAAGTCCAAACCGACGATGTAGAAACAGGTTTTAACGGAGGTGTAGATAGTCAGACCGTTGAAAGCCTTCCAACGTAGTCAAATATTTAAAAGACCCCTTTTGAACAACACACAATTAATTCTATATTTTAATAATACGCCTATATTTCATATATAAAATAAAAATCTATTATTGTGTTGACTATAAAATCTGATCAATCTAGAATATCAATTTATATGAATATGTGGGTATAAATGCAACATCACAATTTATGTACCTATGCCAAGACGAAATAATCCATTTCAGTGCCATATTCCACAGCAAAGTAAGGCCGAATCAGAAAACATTTCTTTGAAATTTTGATAGGGGCACTGTAGTATTTATAATTTTCGATGTTGGTGCTTCCTAAGATACGCTTCCCAGTCTTTACTTAGTCGGTTATATATATGCATTGCAGCACGGGCATCTTCGACAGAGTTGTGTTCACCAGTTTGTATTTCTTGTCCCAGAATGGCTTGGCTCAGACGTTTGAGGCTCGGCGTACGACCATTCGCAACTAAGCGACATAAAGGTTTATATCTAGCTGTGTCCCGGATGTGTGAATATGGATGTTTGATGTGTAAAACTGCTAAATCGTTACGTATGGCATGTCCAACGAGTATTTTTCCTAGAAGAAGATTTCGTTAATAGCTGTAGGCCTGAAACACATTTTGTAAATACCTTGCAAAAGTTTTACTACTTCATCCTGTACGTCTTTGAACTCCTCCCCATTTTCTATATCATGAGGTCGAATACCCGAAACACTCGTTCGATAATCAGTGACTGCTTCTTGCGGCTTAACAAATTTATCTATTATAATTTCTCCGTTTTTATTCACGATTGAGACTCTGGCAAGCATATCCTCTTGTCCATTGAAACCAACGCCGACCATTTCGCAATCCATGGCTAAATATTTGTTTAACTGATTTGTCTTCCGCTTTTGTCGTAGACGTGCTGACTTGCTCAGAGCAGCAGATGTCTCTGTTTTTGCGTCTTCGTCATTCTCGTCAACCTCATCGTGTTCCTTCCCCGTCTGAGATGTATCATGGGATTGACGAATTGCTTCCCAGTTTGATCCTGCCGCACTTCGACTAACGTTTACATTATTACTATTCTGAACCTGAAGTCGTTCCATGGACGTATGTAATGGTTTGGTATGTTCTACCGTTTCTTGTTCTACATGACAATTTTCCGTCTCTGAAGATCTCTTCTTCCGGTTTCTTCTCTTCCTTCTTTTAGGCACGGCATGCTCCAGATTTTCAGACATCTGTATTTTGTAGCTTAAATATGTTCCTTGAATTATTAAACAATCGATTTCGGACCAACAAAACGTGACAGCAAAATACCGCGGAAAAATGTACCGAGTTTCTTCTTCTTATCGATGACACAGTGTAATGTACACGGAATGATTAACCTGTTACAACAAATGGAAAGTGATAGTTAACCACGAATGAAAACAAACAAGCAAAAAGGCTTGCTCCGGGTATTTTCAGTAAGGTAGCCGCATAGGCGAATTTCCACAACAAACATCATCAAACTTGTTGTATTTTAATATGTCAAAAATATTTTGCCAAAACAAAAAAATTCATACGATTTTTTACACAAATGCTTGTAGAAAATGTTAATAAATATATTGCCAAAGAAGCTCTTTAAAAATTCGGAGATTTTCATTTCTTATTTTGTTTTTTTAATTTTTTGTTTTACATTACAACAACATTTTTGACATTTATTTGCACCAACATCTGGGCCGATACGCCTATATAACTTGTCCCGGCCTACACATTTGTTGACAGAGTAGTTGACGTCTACCAAATATAAACAAAAACAATAAGGCATCTGTTTAGGCCAGGGACAAACAGAAACTTATTCTCAATGAGAACAAGTGTGTGGTGGTTTGCCGGATGCTCGTGTAGGCGATGGAGAGCAGAGTGAGATTTGGAACAAGTCTAGTTTAGGGGCTCCACTCGGATCGCTTTGAAATTTTTACCGTAAGTAGTCCTCGTTGAGCTGATTACAGTGATATATATTTTATGTGGGGGAAATGCATACTTCCCGAGATATGGGCCTTGAAAGTTCGGAGAATATCTTGATTAAAACGGCCGTTTTAGTAATGCCACAAAGGCAATATGGGTATCATTTTAAAGCTTACAACGAATGCGCATACATGGCTACGCAATACAAATCCTTTTTTAAGAGCAATTTTCAAATCAAATTTAAGGTTTTTTAAGTAGCCGGCCTTCGGCCGGGGCTTAAGACTTTCAACTATGGACAGACGCATACATGGCTACGCAATCCAAATCCTTTTTTAAGAGCAATTTCTAAACCAAATTTAGGTTTTTTTAAGTAGCCGGCCTTCGGCCGGGGCTTAAGACTTTCACCTATGGACAGACGCATACATGGCTACGCAATCCAAATCCTTTTTTAAGAGCAATTTTCAAATCAAATTCAAGGTTTTTTAAGTAGCCGGCCTTCGGCCGGTGCTTAAGACTTTCGCCTATGGACAGGCGCATACATGGCTACGCAATCCAAATCCTTTTTTAAGAGCAATTTTCAAATCAAATTTAAGTTTTTTAAGTAGCCGGCCTTCGGCCGGGGCTTAAGACTTTCACCTATGGACAGGCGCACACATGGCTACGCAATCCAAATCCTTTTTTAAGAGAAATTTTCAAATCAAATTCAAGGTTTTTTAAGTAGCCGGCCTTCGGCCGGGGCTTAAGACTTTCACCTATGGACAGGCGCATACATGGCTACGCAATCCAAATGTTTTTTCTTTCAATTTTAGTTAATATTATATAATTTACAATGATATACTATATTTATTTTTAAAGCACTATTCAAACCCTTTAAAATGATACCCATATTGCTTTGGTGGCATTAGTAAAACGGCCGTTTTAACCAAGGTATATTCCAAACTTTCAAGGCCCATATCTCGGGAAGTATGCATTTCCCCCAAATAAAATATATATCACTGTAATCAGCACAACGAGGACTACTTACGGCAAAAATTTCAAAGCGATCCGGGTGGAGCCCCTAAACTAGACTTAAGCCTGAGATTTTCAACGACAGTTGCGGACAATATTCGATTCTTACCCTACCTGTTTAATAGACGTTGGTGCTTAAAAACAAAAGGAATTTGAAAGCAATGCCAGCCTTTGCCTTGGGCTTAATACCAAAAAGTAATAATCCAGAATTAAAACGTCATGTTCAATGGAAAGTTGTTGAGTATTTTGCTTGAAGAGGGTAGAAAATGATTTGTGTGGAGGTATAAGAAATGTTGGCTTAACTCTAGCTTAGTAAAAACGATCAGATTTTGCTGAAATTTTTTCCAGGGGTAGGTATTTTTTCCCTAAATATGAGAATATGTTTTTTTTTTCTTGGGGGACGTACCCGGTTATTTGAGCCGAGTACGGGTACCCGTTTATACCCGGTTCCAAAATCATTTCATAATTTTAAACCTTATTAAAATACCTTTCCATTGAGTGGTGAAGGGATTATCTCAAACCATTTTGGAGATACAGCCAAAAAACTGGGTTCTGGACCCCGATTTTTTTTTTTTTGAAAAACATCCTAAAAGTCGACCATGAGTCCATTATAGTCCTTTGTGACTGTTTCTGTTGTAGATCAAAAGATATGGGCCTTAGAACAAGGAAATTCTGTCGCGTAGCCGGTCTTGGTATCTGTCCATAGGAAAAATTCTTAAATCCTTGGCCGAAGGCCGTCCACCCACAAAAATATTATTTAACAGGAGATTTTGTCGCGTAGCCGGTGTTGTTTTCTGTTCATAGGAGAAAGTCTGAAATGCCCGGACGAAGGCCGCCCACCCAAAAAAAAAAAAAAAACTATTCTATTTAAAAGATTCTGTCGCGTATCCGGTGTTGGTATCTGCCCATATGACGCGATGATTATATTCTCATGATTTTGACTATATTGTTTTGCTTTACTTTTTTACTTTCGGTGTCATAAACCGCTTTTTAAATAGACTTGTTATTTATATTAACTTATATTATAATGGTACAAACAATTTAAAGAAAGCTAAATGTCTATACTCAAAACTCATCTTGAATATAAAAAGAATTTCCAAACATCATTATATAGATTTAAAATTTTTCTGAAGTTCAGTCGTTGTAAACGATTTTGACCGTGCATCGATAAAAAGGGCGCATATTTTCTACGCATAAATATTGTGTTTGACAAAGAAACAAACTACAAGTTTTTTTTTACAAAAGTTGAATTTTTATTATATTCCACTTGTAGGACAATAATTCTAATACCGTTAGCACCATTTACCTTTCTTGGTCCACTAAAAACAATGTAGCCCAGTTGTTCCTGGTGAAAAACGTATGCTCTTCTACATATGAGGGGTGTTTGGCCGATTGGACAATAATTCTAATACCGTTAGCACCATTTACCTTTCTTGGTCCACTAAAAACAATGTAGCCCAGTTGTTCCTGGTGAAAAACGTATGCATATTGTTGTGTTTTCACCAATTTAAGTTCAATTTGTAGAACATACTGACCTTAGTTCGTAAGCAATCATAACATGGTTCTGTCAATATCTGTGAAATAAGATTCACCATGTTATTACTTCGATCGGACTGGGGGCCACACTGTAGATAGATTTGAGTGCAAGAACTCTTATGAAAAGTATTTTCCTTTTCGAATAGATAACTATCACCTGAAATCGGATGGAATATTAAAATATATTTATATATTTATATGTAAATGATATCGCATATCACAATATACCTGGACACAATTTATATTCCCTTTTCGGAAGCATTTGTCTGGCTAATAAAGGCAATACCTTAGCATTTGTTTCTTCCAAACGTTTATTAACTAAACCAGCAATTTCGAGGGCCTTTTGCTTAGTCACGTTTCCGTAGATAAAACATTCAGTATGTAGCCGTGAAAAAAATTCTTTGGCATAAGCAAGGACGCGGTCATATGTGGCTACTGTTTATGAGAAGTCATTTGTAGTGTGTAGTTTAATGACATACATTTTATACTTACGTTCTACGGCGTCTAACAATTCGTAGTTTGACCAAACATTCTCGGTTAATAGAAGGGTCAAGTAGTACATCGAGTGCTGGTAGGGCTGCTCGGCGCTAAAATTCTTTAAATTGCGCTTGTACTCTTCCTTGAGGATGTCAAAGCGTTTCTCATCGGCTTCGAAATCAAATAAATGCTTAAGTAGATGGTCCAAAAGTATCACCTGTTTATCATTATAACCGCGTATTGTAACCTAAAAAAAAGTGACGTTGCACGATCACCGTTCATCGTTAGCACTAGTATATATACTCACTTCGATACCATTTGATTTATTTCCAACTTGCAGTTTTAAATCGGCTAAGTCTGCATCGTAGAGATATTCATTCAGCTGGTCCCTTATTAAAGACACCATAAGGAAATTCAAATTACAATTGAGGGGGTCCAGATAAGCTATAGGATTTGACATATCAAACGACATACACGCCTTGGGTTTTAGGTAAACATTATCCTGTTTGTGCCATACACGCAAAATGGGAGTATCCATTATTATTACTGGGTGTTTCGACAGATCCTTGTCAAATGGTGCCAACTCATAATCTTCTGGAATGAAAGCATTTGGCTGTGGCAAAGCTAAATTTGGATTCGGCTCACACGTCTCCCATTTCTGATTTCAAATAAATATATTAACACATTAGTAGAACGGCATAACATAACCCTAGTTTACCTTAATGGTTTCGGAATCGATTTTTAGCGTTGCATATTTTGTTTGGTAATAGGGCTCCGTCAATATTGCTTCTTCTTCGTAACTTTGCCCAATAACTACTACTCTGCATTTAGATGGGACGAACTCGTCTAGTAATTTAGTAATTAGCTCCGGTTTCCACTCATCACTTAGATAAGGAGCTGTGAGGACTTCCTCCAGCGGATACACCTAAACAATGGTGGACTTCTTTATTTTACGCAAACTGTTAACGGTTTTTTCTAACATACCTGCATGCAGGTTACAACATTTGTAACCAGTTTTTCGGGTTTCTCTTTCTCCTTGAATCTAAAACGCATGCTATTTATTTTAGAACATTCATCAAAAATCCACTTTTGGGGACCGACTTCACGTAGCATTTTCAAATATTGAAATACAATATTAATAATATCATCGACGTGTTTAGCCCCCTCCGTTGTTAGCGTTATGTGTATTTCAAAAAAACCAAAGCCATGTAAAATATTCTGATGGCCAGCGAGAAGGTCGTTGGACCAACCTAACCTACGCAATTCAGATAAAATACTCCCTTTGCCTTCATGTCCGAGCAAATGAGTCAAATAACTGTCAGGTGCGGTTTTATAAAGGCCGGTCAGATCGTCTGTCGTAAAACTGATAGTTAACGAGCGTATATCTTTTACAGGCACTATCAGCACTCGTTGTCCATATTGATTATCATCATACGGTTCCCTGGGCCATGTTGGCACTTGTACATTTTTATTCTCAATTTCGGAAAATTTCTTCAGCACCATTTGTTCCAGCTCATCGAGACTATCTGTGAGTAAAATAAATTAAAATGAATAGCAAAAATATCAAATGTGTGTATCACCTTTTCCAATAACGGCCAAGCTCATTATATTCGCCGAGTACCAATGTTTATGAAATTTCAGAAGTTCATCTCGTACCTCGATGTTATTTTGTTTGGGAATTTCGCACAGAGTAGCTTTACTTCCACTCCCAAACTTCTTATAGGCATGTCCTTCTTTCGCTAAATGTTTATGGACTTGTTTGATTCGCCACTCGTCGTTTGGTAAGTTCTTCTCATGTTCCGAGTTGACCTATTAAAGATAACAGCTGAATACTATTTCATTTTCGTTTCTCGTATTCACTCACGGCATTTATTTCACGCTCTGTGGCACTTGGTGTGAATAAAGGTCCTATAAAAAACTGGGCAAACCTATCAAGTGCTCCGTCAAGTTTATCTGGAGCTACGTAGAAGTGGTACTTGGTCATAAGGGGGTAAGTAGCAGCATTGGATGAACCTCCACTCTGAGACAGATAGGTTGTGTAGTCGTTCTCATTGGGATACTTTTCAGTACCCAAAAACAACATGTGTTCACAAAAGTGAGCTAAACCAGGCAAACTTTCCGGATCCGACATATGTCTATAATGCAGAAGGCAATCTGTTATGCATCAGGTAGATTAGTTTCACGTTCTGGAATCTTACCCCACTTGTACAGCCAGTGCAGCAGCAGATACATCAGTTGTAGGGTCACTGGCAAGCAAAACTTTAAGACCATTCTCCAACTGTAGCCCCCTATAATCTCTATTGTCTTGCTCACTTTTCTCGATGTTTTCCAACCTTTTCATAAAAAATACAGCATTGCCTTATATTGACTAATTTCAAAAAGTTAAACAAATAAACTGGGAGTTTGGAGTAAAACCCCGTACCTTTTGATTGGCAAACTCTTCAAAGGACTGTCTGACAAGGCGTCTGGACTGGATAACGAACTGCTCATGTTTCTCCCTTGGTTCTCAATCGACGAATAATTGTATGATGACACCACACCGAATGAATACGATTGGCGATTCGCTTTTCTATAAAAACAACAAATAAAACCTGTCGTTGTTGCATCGCTTTGTAAAACCAATGGAAACTTACTTCAAAGACCTAATCGATATTTGGCGGCGTAAGGGCGAAATACAGTTTTTAATAAACATGAATTTGTCGCAGTGTTACTAATCAAAGCTTCTGTAAGTTAAACAAAAAATAAAATTGTTCACCAGATCTCCCTCTTTCTCAATGGCGTGCAGTTGTAGTTGTATAATAACACTGTCAATTGTTATCGTATTTTTCGTATTTTGGATTTGCCTGCTTTGACATTTCGTAAGCGCTTTAACGCGAGAGCGCAGTGGTCTCATTGTGCAAAATACATAGCAAAGTTCCTTTACCCCTTAAAAGTATCTTCCAGCTGACAGTGGAATGTTACTTAGTCGAGACCCAAGAATGCTAACTTATGTTGATTTTAAGTAGTTTTCATTTCCCGTACTAGTCATGTTTGGAGCTTTTTTCTTTAACTTTGAATTGAATAAATACATAAACATTATAGGGAACACAATCAGTCCTTTCTCAAAAAAAAAGGCTTGGGCTCAATAATTTTTACCGCGTAAAAGTGCTAAATGACATTTGTTCTTGTATTCCGTTCTGAAATGTTTTGTTTTGCAAGCAAATTGCAAGCTCATATCGATTCGTTGAATGCATTTACAGTGGATTGCGTGACGGGTAATCATTCTTCAGTGGATAGCGGGCACAACAATACAATTTGGCTTATACGCTCTTTTCAGTGAATCGTTCAACGTACAGAACAGATATATTGATTGATTTTTCGATTTTCATAAATAAATTCGAAAAGACGAATAAAAAACAAAGATAGTGTTAATATGCGTTGATTGATTACGTGCTACAGAATTCACGAAGCAATAGCAATGAAAGAAGTTTAGCTATTCCTTTGTTTTAAGAAAAATCAATAAAACACGAAGTAGCTTGAAACGAATAGGAAACTCGGCAAGCATAAAGGTTTGGTTTAATTTTGTGTGGAGATAAATCTGATTAAATATAGCAATATTTATGCTATAACCCACTGATAACCCCATTCAGTAAGTAAGTTAACTTTTCTATCCGTGATCGGTTGGGAAGGGTCTAATTTTATTGGGGACTGCTTTTCACTGTCGAAATGACTCCCTTCGCATTTTCCACACACACACGCACACATTTTTATCAGGTGCTTTCGATTTCTTTCTTCCACTTTTGCTTTGAACAATACGTTCACTTTCGAATGTTACAAATATACCTATGTCTCTGAAATGCAAGAGTAAATAATATAGGATTGTTTGTGTGTAACTGAAATCGGAAATATTGTCCTCTCAAAGTACTTAAACCAAATTAAATAAAAGGTCTCCTTCATTTGCAAAGAGCCCCCAGTTTAGTATTAACTTTAAAATACGCTCCATTGGTCACCCACAGTGGAATGGATTAATTGTGATTTCAGTTTGGTTATACCTTGTGTTTTCCGCATTGAACAGATAACTGAGGATAAATGGAAACATGGATAACGAGCAACCACATCAAGAGCTTGTCAAATGCGTACTTGTTGGAGACACGGCCGTGGGAAAAACGCGTCTAATTTGTGCACGCGCTTGCAACAAACACGTATCACTTTCGCAACTCTTGTCGACACACGTTCCCACGGTATGGGCTATAGATCAGTACCGCATTTACAAAGACGTCCTGGAGAGGTCGTGGGAGGTAGTAGACGGTGTTAACGTTTCTTTGCGTCTTTGGGACACATTTGGAGATCATGACAAAGATAGGCGATTTGCTTATGGCCGGTAAGTTAGCTCGTATGATGTCAAGCACGATTCGGCGATGAGACTAAACAAATCGACACGAATGTATTTTCAGTTCGGATGTTGTGCTGCTTTGTTTTTCCGTAGCTAGTCCAATTTCACTGCGCAATTGTAAAGCTATGTGGTATCCAGAAATCCGGCGATTTTGTCCAGATGTTCCGGTAATATTGGTAGGCTGTAAAAATGATTTGCGGTATATGTACCGCGATGAGACATATTTGTCGTATTTCGGGGAGAGGAGCACCTTTGTAAGGTAATTGTAGTATGTCAATGCCTCTAGATAACAATAAAAAAATCGTTTTTTAGAGCTGCACTAAAAAGTGATTTAGTTATGCCTGACGAAGCTCGCGCTGTTGCAAGGGAATTGGGTGTATCATATTACGAAACCAGTGTCTTTACATATTTCGGAGTAAATGAAGTCTTCGAAAATGCAATTAGATCGGCATTGATTGCTCGACGCCAGCAAAGGTTCTGGATGACAAATTTGAAAAAGGTTCAAAAGCCGTTACTACAGGCTCCGTTTAGACCGCCCAAGCCGCCGCCACCGGAAGTGACTGTAGTAGTCGGAAATTATCAACAGGATATGTACAATATGTTTTTAGCGCAGACATATACTGATCTCATTCTCATAGTGGGTACCACGAAATTTCCCGTGCACAAGTTTATGGTAGCTGCCGCTTCCAGTCTTTTCAATCGATTGCTTAGTATTGACATTTCCGATATGGGTGGTCGAAGTAGCAGTGAATCAAGTATGGTAAGTAACAGGTTATAACAATTCAATAATGTACGAGCTTTTTAAATGTTAACCTTTAAATAGGTTAGTTCAACATTCGGCGAAGCAACAACTGCGGATTTTAATGACGACACCGAGTGTTTAATACGAAATGAATCGCGCGCACAAAGGTAAGTTCACAATAATGTAAATTGCCCATTGTTGTATTGCTACTTTTTTCCAAATATTCAAAATTCGCAATCAAATATTTATTTTATATTTTGAAGAAAACATTTTTACTAAGCTAGACTAAGAGAAGATGATACAACCATTAAATGCAAGTCTTTATATAAAATTCGCAAAAATAAACGGACATTTAAACGGACATTGGAACTAAATTAATAATGTGCGATATACTGATATACAACTGTACATGTTAATTATAATATATATAATTATAATATATTGTCCTTTACACGTTTCATTAGTTACGTACTAAGATGTTTGTTAACTTCACACAAATATTTAATTTCTTCTCTTAAGTAAGATAAAAAAATGGAAGATCATTTATACTCTTTCTTTGTACCCGCAGAATGTGGGAGCAAATAAAACGTCGGTCCAGTTATCAGGCACTGCCTCTAATTGAAGCCAAACGCCCCACTGAGCTTTACAAGGATTTGCATCACCCTGTTTTCCAAAACATTCGAGTCGTTCAAATAGATAATAACAATGGAATTCAAATTAACCAGACAATTCTAACGCTTACAAAATTGATAACTCCGCAGGCGTTACACCAGTGTCTAAAGTTTATATACACTGGCACAATAGATTTATACAATGTGCAGGTATTCCTTTGTTATTGTGTTGTGTAGAAGCATTTTACGAATTATTTTTTCGTATGTGTTAAGGATATAAAACAGGCAGCTGAACTGTTGGAGTTGTCACAATTAACCAATTTGCTGTCGAAGTCTCAAAATTCCCTGACGGCCCAAGAACCAAACTCACAAGTGTGTCTGGTATTTATTCCGCCGATTGAATATTTTTCTTTTGAATGATTTTGTTTTCGTTTTATCTTTCCTTTAGGCCTTAAAGGAGAACATGGAAAAACATAGCTCTGGCGATGGGCTTTTTACGGATATCACATTTGAGTTGGACGAAGGTCAAATGAAAGCACACCGTGCTGTCCTAGTGGCGCGTTGCGACGTAATGAGGGCAATGTTAGCTGGAGATTTTCGTGAAGCCCACTCTAGTGTGGTAGGCTAGAATCAGTGTGAATTTATCGGTAATGTTGTCATATGACAAACATACGTTCATCGTTTCAGATTATTTTCCCCGGCGTAACAGTGTACACATTCCATAAATTACTTTGCTATTTATATACCGACGAAATACCGCATATATCTGCCGTTAAATGTCTAAATCTGTTGGAATTGGCCAACCGATTGTGCCTGCCCCGTTTATTAAATTTAGTTGAGTGTCGTGTAATCGAAGACCTAACGATGATTTCCCAAAATGAAACAAATCAGACAGTGGATCACTGCTTGAAACTGTTGGAACCTGTAAAGGTATTAATGTTGCAAGAGTTAGGATTCTCAATGGGTCTATGTCTTAAACACAGTTTTTTGTTCATAGCTCCATAATGCACACCAGCTTGCCGAGTGGTGTATGTCATATTTGTGTGTAAATTACAATATCATATGCAAGTATTCTATCAAAGGCCTGCGAGCTTTACACCAAGAGAATCAAGAATATTTGCGTGAACATCGCTGGCCTCCAGTGTGGTATTTAAAAGACTATGACTACTACCAACGTTGTATAAACGAAATGAACAAGGAAATGAAAAATTCTCGACGAGATTCTCGCAGTGACGATGAAGGATGTCTTTGCTTTACTGGTGGTGAGTAAATAATGTGTGTGAGTAAATATTATGTAGTAGAGTAGAATAATTATCAATTCATAAGTTTTATTAATAACATGCAATTTTTTTTGCAAATATCAAACAGTTACGTATAGACAAAGGAATTTGCACAATACTTTACATTTATTTTAATTATTGCCACAAACAATTAATAGACAAATTTTAAACATTACTTTCAACAATAAAATCCATCGCACATATAGGTATTAAAAGAGAAGATTTAAATAAAAATTCATGGCATAATTATACAAGGTAGTCTCATGCAGTAATATGTTAATAAATTTGCTTTGACAGTATTCAGCTTTCAAAATTTAAATCGAAATATCTTTCTTCGAAATGTACGCATGTTATGTGTTCAGTGGCAGAGGTTTATAAATATTTTGATATTCCCTTCCTTTAAAACTTATAAATATAAGATGTAACAACCATGGCTAAACCTTGAGAGCAATGTTCAGCTTTAGAAAATATAGTTTGTTTAATTTATTGAAAATATGCCAATCGACAAACATAAAATTTTATGGAATTTATTTTTCATATTTTATCATGGTACAATTATAAAAGGTAACAGCAAATCCCAGCTGATTTGATTCCAACGTAATACTAGTGTCAATATGAATTTGACAAAATATGTTTTTAAAAATCACCCAACAGGAAAATTAGGAACGCAAACAATTTGAAATTGTTCTTTATTAATGTGTTCTCGTATTCAATTTACTCAATCTGCCTGCTGGGAAAGTTTGAGGAAGCAAATCTTTCTTGGAGGAATTACTCGCTATTCCCAGCATTGTCATATGTGTTACATATATATATGGCAATGGCTCAATTAAAGGAAAGATGTGGAAGCGATAGAAATATAAATTTGATAGATTTTCATTCATGTTTTTCAATTTTTATTTTGAGGATTCGAAAATATTCCATTTTCAAAATAAAAATAATTTGATGATAATTTGTTTGTTTGTTTACATTTTTCTGTCAAATGAGTTGACACTAGTAGAACTTACAACAACAAATTTCCATGTGGTTGTTGTATCGTTTTTTGTACAACAACACTTGCTGTTACCTTTTATTATTATACCATGATATTTTATAAAGATGAGTTCCAAATTTAAAAGGGTTGCCATCATCAAATCCTCAAATGAGACTACCTTCTGTTATTATGCCAAAATTCCGATGTCCTGTTAGGCAATTTTAATTGCACCTCCTCACCTCCCTCGCATACAAACTAATTTTGGGGTAACTTTCTGTCAAACAAGGCACAAAAAACAGACATTTCTCATTTTGAGTTTTCATTAGTTGTACATATAAGCGTTTTCTTGCGTTATAATCATGGCAACTTTTTTAATGATTAAGATTTCGTGAGATATGCAACATAAAAATTTGAAATGAGACATGGCACTATAAAAAGTTTTTCAAGCAGTAGTATGATGTTAAGTTTATCAGCTTACTTTTGCAGTAATAATTACTGCGTAAGTTCTTTTGTGAGAGTAAGAGAGATTCTTCTTCAAATAATACAAAATTTAATATAGGTCTCTCAATTCGCACATATATTAACATTTTGTACAAATTGTTGCAAAATATCGAGTAAGCAAACAGACTGATTCTGTTGATTGACGTGATTTAATTACTTCTGAATTCATTTTCAATTTTTCTTTAAATTTGATGATGTTCTTTCTTGAAGGATGAACACTACGTTTAAGTATTGGGGTATTTATTTAGCAAAAACTTAATCTATACATTACCATGTCCAAATTTTAAAATTCGATTTACTATATTTTGAATAATTATCATGCTTATATTTTTTATGTGCTCTTGATCATGAAATTAAAAATTGAACGCACTCTCATTATTTAAGATCCTACATTTCTATTTGTTACCTGCTGTTTCGTGACTAGACTTTGGACGTCTGGTCCTAACATTCTGGACATGGTAATCTGCTAACATATTATTGAAATAAACTGCATTTCATTACATATATCATTCATTTCCCCTTGATTATTAATAAGAAATTTTCGAAAAAGTAATTTCTTGGATGCTAGGAAAACCAAAACCTCAAAGAATGTCGTCCGGAAATGGAAGTGAAAATGCGAACGAAACACAGATATTGAACAGCTCTGGAATTTCAATGAATCACATTGATTTGGAAGCCGACATGGACTTGAATCTCTGACATCCAGCTTTGGGGCATAGACGGTAATTGATTGATATGAATATTTGTTCCAAATGGACTGACTCATTTTAGCTGCTTTTATTTAGATCGCTGCGTTTCATCGTTATTCTGCCCGTGTTGATATGTTTCATCTGTACCATCTTGAGTATTTTAATACTCTTTCAAATTTACACGTAGCGCTGGAAATGGACGTTCCCCACAACCAAATGAATGACGAAATTTGTCTGCGAGACACGTGGATAATTTCAGTAATTGGGGCAGGCGATTTATTATTCAAAATATTTTCTATGTTAATCAGTTATTGTATTGTAAAAGAAAAAGGCAAGCATTATAAAGCTTCAAACCATTTAATTGCGAAATAGGGAACTTTTGTCTAGCCATTAGCTATTAGCTTAAGCATTTACTAATATATAGTAAGTAGATGACACAACTACGACTAGAGATGTCTGTATCTTACCTTGCGAGAATAATTTATATTCGGTTTTCTACTAGAGAAACAATCGACTGAAGGAATTATGTACATAAGCCACAAATATCACAAATTAATAGAGCGACATTTGTGCATTTGTTTTCTTTTTCGGTTTAAGTGACCACGAACAACGGCAATATACGACGAAGTTGAAGTTTGATTATTTCAAGGGACTATTCTATTATAATTATAACACATTATTGCAATATAATTGACACACATGTAAATACGTTTTTAATAATGCTATAATATACTGGATCATATAATAATTGATAATATAACTGCCACTGTACAATCGCCGTTTTGGAAATGTGCATTATTTCGTTTAATACTACATCGGTACTTCATTGACTAGGGCGGTAAGTATCATCGAGAAATTTGTCTTGTGTCTGTAATCTCTTGAATATATATATATATATATGTGTGTGTGTCTGCAATCTCATGAATATATATATATATATATATTCCCAAGGGGGTTTCCCGTAGTACAGCCAACCTAAATGATATTAAGCCTTTGTGCGATGTCCCTTTTGTTTTTGAACCTTGAAGTCGTTGATTGATAACCATAAATAATTTTGTGATCGTTCCTAGTTCTTGATTAATTCAAGACCAAACATTTCCATACAATCAGAAACATTTACAGTTTATTTAATTAAAAATTGGTCGTACTCGTAAATACTACGCAACTACGACAGGGTCCACATCTGTCGTAGACGATCGTGCTACCCATAATAAAGGGGAATAAAACTAACACAGTATGATACGTTTGTTTGAGAGTAACAATTGAGATGTTTTAAATATTAGCATCACTGATACTGAAGCTGTTCACAGGTGTTTTTTGCTCTACATCTAAGCCGTCCAGCATCGCTATTAGCTCAGCATCACTTATTTCAATTTTCTGCGATGCTGACTCCCGAGAATCACTAGTCGGCCAGACATCTGGTATATTGGTCGATGAAGGAGCAGAGCGATCTCCGAAAAGCTCCTTGAGTTCTCGTTCCAATTCATCTTCTTCGTCCGTCGACAAACATTCCGAAGGAGTTGCTTTAGCAATAGTTTCTTGCAGGTCGTTATTCATATCCAGCGTTTCACGCATATCTGAAACAACTTCTTCAACATTATCGAATGTGAGGTTAGATGTTTTAAGGACATCTTGCAAGGCCTTCGTCCCATATTTATACGCATCCAAAATTACACCGTTATGCTTAGCGTCGTCTATGTTGGAAATGAGGGATTCGATGTTATGCAATGCGTCGCTGCGTTTTACTAAATTGGTGGTTAAAATTAAATCAACAAGTGATTACATGCTCCAATCATAGTGTAATTATAATTACCATGACTCTTTTCAAGAAGATGTCTCTTGCGCAGGTAAGTCTTGGCCAATAACCTTTTATTTTCTCTAATATATTGGCGAGTCTTTTCTTCGTTCTCAGAAATCTGAAGTTCCAAGTGTTCTAGTTGCTTCAGTAAGGATTGTCTTGTTATTTGAAGATTGTGTAACGCAATGTCTGAGTCGTCCACGGTTACAGATGAATTGGATGTGGCTGTAAGATAGTAAGCAATCGTAATATTATTACGGAATATATGTGAACCGCATTTGTATACAAACATGGTATCTTTATCAAGTGTATCATTTCATTATTATTTCCATCGGCATTGGCATTCTGTCGGTAACGCAATCCTATCTGTTGTTGGCAGAACAATGTCCGTAGGCACAGGACTAGACAATCCTCGGATATGTTTAGTAGGGCAGATATGTTATTTTTCACTTCTTCAAAACTATATATGGATCCAGGGTAGGGGGGCTTCTCAAAAATCGATTGCAAATTACAACAATATTTCTGAAATGGATATTTGTATTAGTATTGTACATTTTTGAAATAGGGTAAGGATATTTTACATTTATGACTGTAAGGTGTACATACTCCATGTGACCTAGTTGGCGTGTGTTCGTTGGCAAAATAACGTTTTTGATGCGATTCAAAGGAGTTTTCCAAAGCCTTAGCACAGCCCATCCGGCCCAGCCGTTTGCAGGATCGTACTCGTATTCCAATCGTGGCCGAATTAGGCCATTCTTTTTCATTTCATCGATCACCGTATCTAGGCAAGAAGGAACTCTTTGGCCAACTGTAAATGTGTGCAACAACTCATTCTTGGAAAAGGTAGCCATCCCTTTGTGCAAACAGAATTCCACAATTGTGTCTTTCCAGAATTTCATTTTTGAATCGTAGTTCTCTGGATTAACACTTCGTTCCCGAAAGGGACCATACAATGCTTGTACGCGGGCATCATCCCTTAGAACTGACGGTAATGGGAATTTGTTGGGAGACCCCAAAGTAGATGTTGGACTGCACATTGTGTAGCGAGTGATGGCTAAAACTAAAAACGTTCCCTGCGCTACAAATGGGAGAGAAGAAACAAGTGGCCGATAAAGAAGGAGCTCAAAGAGTGAAAGGGAATATTTACGAATCAGGTGTGATGGACAATGCAAAAAGACGTAATGTTGAGAATAAGACAAAGGAGAATTGCCGATTAGGGATATCGCAAGACGGCGATAATGACAGAACCAAATGCGATTTTCGAATGATTAGAACATAGTCTTTTATTCTTATTTTTATCGCAGTTAAAATACTGTATCGAAGGTTTAACTATTGGTTTGGGATATCGCAAGACGGCGATAATGACAGCACCATCGATAACAAATGAGATTTTCGAATGATTAGAACATAGTCTTTTATTCTTATTTTTATCGCAGTTAAAATACTGTATCGAAGGTTTAACTATTGGTTTGTTTCCGTACTACAAGAATCTACTATTTTAGCAGTTTTTCCTTTATGTAAAAATTATTACATTCTTGCAGTACGGAAATAGACCATTTATAACAACAACGTCCCCGTATTTCAACATTAATTAAGTCTTCAGTAAAAATACACGTTCCGTCCAACATTTGTTATCCGTCTCAGGTTTATTTTCACTTCTGTTCCCGTACTGCAGGAATCTACTAGTTTTTACTACGATAACGTAATTTTTCTTTATGATATCGAAAAAAATAGTAAAATCGAGTAGATGCTTGCAGTATGGGAACAGACCAACCAGTGAACAGACCACCATGGCACCAGTGATGATTTTCGTTAGGTCTCTTTCTGCACTCTCTTTCGCATCGTTAAGTCGCATTTACAAGTAAAGTTAAGTTCTATAACTGCCCAATCATTTAGTTATATCGTCGGGTTCATAAAGTGTAGACGTCCGTTGTATTGATCGGTTATTTTTTTTGTCGAATTATGAACAAATTGGAAATAATATGTTAAATAAGTGAAAACAAAACACAAAATAGTGCAAAATTCGTTCGCATCGCGTAATAAGATATTCTGCAATATGCTTTGTTCTGCTTGTTCGATGAAATCCGTGCACGTTTGGTTACAAAAAGCATTTAAATAGAAAAACGTATTCCCTTTGTCACAACGTTTCCGAGTACATGTTGAAGAGAGTAAAAGCTATACCTCCTCTCGTTTATTATTCGCATTCGGTCCATTTTTACTGCAAAAACTTCATTATGTGTTTTATTTCAATTAGTGCGGGTAACAATCATAAAAGCGGTTTCATTTTCTCAGTCGTAGATAAAGAACAAATAATTTAGTCAAAAATGTAATTCGAAATTCAGTGTTTTAAATTAGTGTTTCATGCTGGAAAGTTAAAAATAAATATGAAAGTGTAAAGAATGAAAATAAAAATTAATTCCAAATATATATTGAGTATTAACCGAACGTACTTATCGGAGGGCAAAATAAGTTTAAATGTGTTTTCAAGATGTGCAACTACTTTTCTATCGTATATCGTATTCATTCATATCTATTCATAAATATAACGTAGGTTCGTGACTTTGCTATATTGACTGTTACAACATATTAACACAGATCAAGTAATTTGTGGGGGGTTCTATATTAACTCTGAAAGCGGAAAACTGACTGATAATATTATATACAATACTTCGCTTTCGATTTTTGTTACAACAATCAATTTGCATTGAAAGGGTGCATTTTCGTACTTTTTGTTTTTACCTGAGGCAATGTCTTCCAAGTCTACTCTCATTTACTAGAGTTGGGTGTCTTTTGTCCCAATATGTAAATTACAACTCAGTAATAAATTCTATCTTTTATTTCATACAAGACAAGAAATAATTAATTCATTGTATTCAGGGCCTCAAGGACCAACACTGGTAAAAATTTCAAAACGATCCGCTACCTTCCCAGAATATACGTAAACAGTTTTTTTTTATTCTAATTGTACGTACACAAATGCGATAAAATTTACGATACGTCGCAGACTAAACATACGACAGCAAAAAGCAATAATCAAGAGAGTGCTGTGCTTTGTACTTCTCAGACTGTCTGGTAACGCGTATTGAAGGACAGACAGTTTGAGGACTTTTCAATTTTGTCAAACCGACCAATGCAATTTAATTTGTAATCAATTACATTCCAGAACCCAATTTTTGTTTTGAATTGTCACACCTTAAACAGCTGATCGTTTTATGTCTTTTACGTCAGCGAACTTCTGCGTTGTCAACATGCATATAACAACGCCGTCACACGTGGCTCGGTTCTCTGACTGCAGTTGCTGTGAGTGTATGTGTTGTAAACAATACGGTTCTCATTTAGTCTCCATTCCACCTCATTCGTAATATTTCGGTTATACCACTTTGAGTTCATCTTTATCGGCCATTTTGTCTTCACCTCCCATTCGTTACAGGTGGAACGTTTTTCAATTTTCTTTCGTTCCATTTTTGACATTTTTGTCTAAACCTCATTCGTAAACAACACGGTTTCCATTTAGTCTCGTAAACTTTCGGTTATACCATTTTGAATTCATATTTCTCGGCCATTTTGTCTTCACCTCCCATTCGTTAGCAAGAGGAACGTTTTTCAATTTTTCTTCAGTCTTGTAACGCGTATTGAAGGGCAGACACATAGACACATCGGATGCGCGTTAGTTTGTTTGATGTTCGATGCAATAATAAAATAAAAATATATAAAAAGTGACCAAAATAATATTCAAATCGAGTTTTTTTCAAATATATGAGACCTTGTTCTCCAAGAAAAAAATCGAGAATTCGTTCGTGCGTGTTTGAATTCCTCTATATGTAAATATTTTTGTGTATGTGTGTATGTTTTATAGTTTCATCATTCTCATCACGACAAGAAAAAAAAAACGAAAAACAGAGACACAGTTTGTTATTGTCAAATGTTATGTTTTTGTCGATGGAAGCAAATCGAATCACTATCGGGAAGGCTCGCGTTGTAGTGCTCTAAGGAGCTTTAACCGTAATTGAGGCAAGTAAAAAACAAAGAAACATTGTACATCGCTACAAAATTTCCGCGGTATGAGTGCTTTAAGACGACGTTTTTGAAGCAGGATAATGGCGGGAAACCTGGTTAAGTGGTGGAAACACAAATTTCTTGGTGGATATAAACAATTCTCAGGTGAGTGTGACAATGGTACATATTGGTCAAATTGTTTGCAATTATTGTTGGTGCCTATAGTGATATGGGCGTACAACGAGACATCAGTGTACTCAAAAACGTACGGTGAGAACGAAAAAAAACATGTTTCATGATACACTCGGCGGCGGCCATTCAAAGCCATGATCGCTTTGAATAGCCGACCCCTCACAGTCAACTGCTCAGCAAGATAAAACAAAAACAACAACATTCAACTATACAAATATATGTAGGTTTCAGTGTGTATGCGCCACGAACGAGTGGAGTGGAGAGGAACAAAACGATACGATGGTGGTGGTGGTATGGTGTGGTATTTAAAAGAAATAGTCGTTCGAGAGATACAATGACGACGGAAAGTTCAAAGGAAAATCAGAACGAATGTAGGCACACCAAAGTGTTGCCTTCCCGTCCTCTTAATAGCATATATATATACATGTATGTATGTGTAGAGTTTTTGTACAATGTCGTATACATACACATATTTTTTCTATGCCAATTTGGTACGCCATCTATCCATAGGTCACCCAAATAGAAACAAATTAAACGCTGGATGGATGGGGGGAATGTTGGGAGCTTTCTCAAATGATTGGCTTTAAACGAGTTAAGCATCGACAATAACTTCGTAGTTAAATTAAAATCTTCATCCTGAAAGGCAAAACAGTTACATAGTTTCAAATACGACCAGTATTGAAAACAACGGGCATTCGGCTTAACTCATACTCATAGTTTTATGACTGAAGATGTATTTACTTACGTTACGTTGATGATACCTTGAACGACAGAACGCGAGGTAGCATCATGTCAGTAACATATACATATGTATTCTACCCAAGTAGCATCAAATAATGTACTTAACAATATTGTTGAATTTATCTTATTTATCAGATTTTCGAAAAAAATAGTTTTCCATTTTTGTTGGGAATCAATGTAGTATGTATTTTTTTAAATAAACAGGCGTTGTTAATATCTCACGAATTTCAAATGTAGCATCTGTAGATCCACAAAAATCAAATTTTCTCATATTATATATAGGAATATATATATAGGAATTTTTAATTATTCTGAAGTTTAATCCAGAATAGTTAATATTCGTCTAAAGTTCAGACAATAAGCCAGTCGGTTACCTTTTGAAATTTTTTACAATACGTATTTGTAGGGGCTCTGATTACTAAGGGAAATCCAAATTTACCGACCTCCAAACTTTGGATGGGACTCCCTTTAACAATCACTAGGGCAATATGTGTATCGTATTGAAGTGTTTTTTTTTTGGGAAAGTCCATCTCTCTAATCAAAATATGCCGAGGGAGGATACAAAATGCCATGCAATTGTTATCTTTTATGTTACTGTGCTTACTGCACGTTCAATTTTATAATCAGTCTCTGCACAACTTAATGGTATGGTCTGCAGAGCCTCAACATGCCACTTAGTGGAAACATTAACAAACAGTAAGCACAGAATTTGTATCATGTAGCCAGCAATGTTTTATTAGCTTTCAAATGATATGCGTATGTATATAAGTAGATTAAAATGGTAAAAATCGGTTTTATTCGCTAGGGAATGCCGATTAAAAAATTAAGGATCCGAATCTGTCTTCCGCGAATGTTAGAATGCCGTGTTGTGGTAATTAGTTAACGATTCATGTAAAAAGGACGGAAATGGCACACAAGGACTCGAAATAGAAGGACGATGTGTTTTACAAAAGTTATCCTTATTCGATTTGACAGAAGACATCTCATTTCAAAAATGGCCTGCAATAGCCACCAGCAAAAAATCCATCATTAGCCTTCTGGGTAATTAATACACTCGCTAAAAAGGAAATTTCCATACCTATACCTTGAGCTCCATTTTGTCGCATATTGAAATCAGTTAATCATCACATAAAATATTTGTTTTATTTTTGCATATAACATCATTCATAACTTTATTAATAATTGACAAAATCCGGAAATGCATGCCTCTGGGGTATAGCGATAAATTCAAATTTATTGTATAGAAACAATCCACTCACATTTGGACCCATATTTATTGTTTTCAGTACAAGAATGTGCAACAGATTCGGAAGAATTAATCTACAACCAAGTGCGCGCTTCGTCTTCATGCAGTGCACCACCGGATTTGTTGCTTGTCAGTGATCGTGAGAACAATCTGTCATTACGATCGGGGACGGCTTCAAAAATTAATCCACCAACTACGGCGACTTCGCCGCTGGTGTGCATTAGTAGTTGTCCATTAAGTAATAATAATCAAGGCGATACTCTACATCAGCCGGCGCTGAAACATGCCTCCATACCACATGTCAGCACTTGCAAGGATACAAGCGCTAAGCACTTACAAAAATCCAGTGGACATCGTCACATACCAATTGTACGGTGTGAGCCCCATATCTCTGGAGAGGCACCGACAGAATCTCAACAGATTCATTCTTCAACGCGTTTGGCAGAAAGCACACAGCACCAACGGACTGGGGAGCACATACGGCTAGAGGTGAGTCATGACAAAAATCCACATATCAATAAAAGATGTTTGACCTGGGCTAACACAGCATGATATAGTTTTGGGAATGTACATTTTAAACTGTTGCCTTTACCAATAATTTTAGGAATTCACGTGTGATGTTTCTGTCGAGGGTGGTAAGGCGTCACAACCCTTGCAGTTTTCTTTTACATTTTATGACTTGGACGGCCACCATGGAAAAATAACTAAGGACGACATTGTGGGTATTGTTTATACCATATACGAATCCATTGGCAAATCGGTTGTTGTGCCACACAGTGGTAGCAAAACAATAAATGTTCGCTTGACAGTATCGCCCGAAGATAAAACCTCGAAATCATCGGCGACAAAGAAGGTTGTTCCACCAAATTCGTGTGCGTTAGAACAGAAAAACAATCCTTCGAATAAAGTTTCTAGTAACGCCTTGGGAAGGCGATCACATCGTTACAGGCCACGTAAGCTTATTAAGTCCGATGAAGAAGACGACGAAAGTGCCAGCGACAGGGAACGCGAAACAGATGGAACTGTAAATCCTGCTGTCCAACCCTTGACGTCATCGTCACGGAACAACAGACTAGACAAAATCAAGACAACTCAGCCATTTTGTCTGGCACAGACACAAGTTCAGTCAAACGGCGATTTGAATATTTCGGAAAATATGTATAACCATGTAAAGAATGGTGGTAATGGGGCATGTCGACAGTGCCTGACAGTGGTTGAAGAAAATATTAGTGCAACTGTATCACCTGCATGTGATCATAACCTATCAAATACAAGTAAGCATGTTTCGAATGAGGCCTTAATGAAACAAGCGGCCTTGACACGCATAAAATTGCTAAGGAAATCGAGAAAGCAAAAGGTTTGTGTAACAATACCAAAAAATAAATTAATTAATAATTAGTTTAAGAATTGAATTTCTCATAGTTTGAATCTGAATTCGTTTATGTAAAATTTACCAATGAGGTTGATGTTATCAATAACATCCATCATATTTCCTACTAATTGTTGACTGGTCCCAAAAATGTTTGTATGGCGGCCAGAACAAATGGATTTGAGAAGCCTTTTCATGACTTTCTTTTTTTATGTTTTCTTCCACATACATTCGGATTAAAGCCGCTTCAAGACTGCAACCAAATTCGTCAGCGTAGCTTATCTGTTGGAAATGAGACATGCTGGAATAGACGCCATTTGCAAAAATCACAGAACCCAAATCAGTTGGCTTGGGTTGACCAACAGCTAAACAACACTGACCTCTTGGATAGTGTTCAGTTGCATAACACCTTCCAGGCCGAGAATACATCTGTTTCTCAGATGCGAAGCTCAGCAGAGTGTTGGAAAACGCCTTTGAACCGTAACGATCTGATAAGCATAATTAGGGAAAGCATGGAAAAAAACCGATTGTGTTTTCAACTGAATGGGTAAGCAAAAAATTATAAAGATATAATGTTAAGCTTCGCTACGAAATGTCGATACCACAAATGCAGTTTGCGATGCATGATCCCTGTTGGATGACTATATCAAAAACGTGAACACATGTTGACTAATTCCAATATCCTATTGTATATATCCAATACTTTGGAATGGTAAAATTTTTAAAAACAAATACCCTCCACACCAAAGAGTAAAGTTTTATTTCTTTTGTTCAGTAAATATAGTAGAATCTCGACATAACTCGGAAATATCGACATTTGTTTAATACTGAAAACTGCACAGCAAAGCGATATTTATAAATATTTAGTATTTTAACATTTTTATTTCATTTTGAAAAAATATTCAAAGTATACACGTCAATGCAATACAATGCCATACTTTTAAGATCAAGGCTTTGGCGTACGACACCTTTTTGACGTTGTCCTAAAACTATCAATTTCGAATGACTAATGTTATTCTGGTCGCACCATTTTATACACGCTTCATTCAACAGTGTGACATGTATGCTTTACTATTGAGCATTGCTAATCCGGTTCATTATTTTTGGTACTCTCGTTATCCAATGAGGAATCTTCAAGGGATCTGTTTTTCAAATTATTATTGAGCATTTGAACTCCATTTCTTGTTCCAATAAGACCTTCGGCATGAATATCGTCATGGAAGATATGTATTAAAATTACCATTCTGAATTACAATTTATTTCCTGTTATTTATACTTGAGAATTCAGACAAAGATTTATGTACCAAAGATAATATTTTTTTTTAAATTTTAAAACATTATCGTTAAACCGGAATTCTACTGTATGTCCTTTTTATCGCTTAATTTCGAAATAAAGCAAACTGCATTTACCTAATTATTCATCGGTTTAAATTTGCCCATCAACTTGAATGAGGAAGCAAATAATGTTAAATTGTTTTTTAGAAAACTCCAGGCGAACGTAAGCCCTATCAGGCAGCCAACTCCCCAACAACAGTCTGGATACAAGAACAAAAACGCCCCAAGTCAGTCACGGACAAAAACAAAGATTCCTATGTTGATTTCGAACCACAGCAACCGCTCGATGCAGTTCAGTAATAACAATGATTCGTCTGTGACGACTGAACATAGCATTCCCCATAACCAATTGCACATTCCTATGTTCCACCAGCCAATGGCTCCGAATGCGACTCAATCAAAATGTGCACAAAACGGCACGCCGGCATCAAATGTAAGAATACCCGCCCAGCATGGTAAGATGAATCTCTGTGGATACGACTCCTTCCTACATGCCACAATTTGCGGTGGCACTGCCCTAAATCAAACTTCACCGCCGCATATCAAACCATTCAACGAAGCTAACAATACTCACCCCAGTCACAATTCTCAAATTGCAACTATAGCAGCATCCGCCGTACCGTCTATAGCAGTTAATCCTAACCTCGAGTCCAAATATAAAATGCCCAAAAGTCCCCGAAATTTGTCACTTCCGCATGGAAATCATGCAAATACTACCGGTCTTTCAACATCCCACAATTCACCCCAATACCATGGATATCAACGTTTATCATCCGGGAGTAAATATGGTATTTCTCCAATGAATTTATTACTTGATGATGCCACGGACAAGGTTAATAATCCACATCCAGGAAAGTTGAGGTCAAGTCAAATGCAGAATTACGAACTGTACGCCAAATTAACAGAAAAATTACAGCAGACCAGTTTGGCAACCTGCAACAAAGAAAATATCCATCGCCGAAATAAGCATCGATTGCAACGTCAAAGGCGATCGATCGAACCAATGCCTCATGGAAATAAAGCATGTGACTTGGCGTTGGCGACATCAAGCAAAACTGAAGGGTATGTTTCTCTAATACCCTTTTGTGAAGATCCGGTCGAATTTCAGAATCTAATAGCTCAAACGAGCGAAGATGAGTGTCATTCCCAGCCAGAAAATATCGAAAGCAAAACCGGCGACATTCAAAAAGCGACCGCTGCAGTACACGTGGCCGAAGGAACTTTGGTCGATCTCGATCTGGAGGAGGGGAATGATCTGACTGCTACTGGCAATCAACATTGCATTGGCAACATAAAACTAGCACCGCCGAGTATCGACACAAAGAGCAACGAAGGTCACGTTGAAGATGACGTTGAAATAGATGACGAATTGGATGAAGACTTGGCGGACCTCGAAGGAATTCCAATATCCGAGAGCGGACGCAATAGTTCAATAAGCAATGATGCGAATGATACAGTTGCTAATACCAGTGCAACATCATCCCTCATTCACAGATATGTTCACGAACATATACATCATCATTATCATCATTTCGAGGAAAAAGATGAATAGTTAGTTGGCTCCTGGTTTTCTTTACCTTGTTTTGACCACCAACAACACATTGGACTCCTAATGGACATCGATATATTTATAATCCGAACACACTACAACATCATTGTACGGAAGAGACGGAAAATCGACTTGTACGAACCCATTCGGATATTTCAATTCTCATTTTTCAACATTATTATATTTTATTATATCTTTCTATTGGCTGCGTCGCCAATATAACTTAATTTTGTATTACATCTACTAATCGAAAAGTACTAACTAAATCAACGGAACAGTTTCTGTTTGTCTAGCGCATACATTTTAATGTATATCATTCTCTCTATACATACTCGTACACGTTTATTAATACTACAGCAGATGCCGACATCATCGCAAATAGTTAATAATTAGTAAATACACCCTATAGTATATATTTATAGTTTATGTTGATTTTGCCATGTACACACGGCCACCAATAAAGGCCGAAACAATGAAAGCATGCGTTGTCATTACTTTGCTATGAAACTGAAAGGATGGCAACAGGTGGCCACGCCGCGGTACATTAACATGGGTCAGTCCCCGTTACTTATTAATCTGCTCAAAGTAAATGTTACGGTAAACGCTCCACGGCGTTTTAATATAAGTATTACGACGACATCTTCGTGCACACCATACAATATGATTAACGCATTTGCAATTGACACAAACACACACCACGCTTCATACTTACATATGATAGCGAGTTGTATACATACCAACATCATATTTCAAAAAACATCATAAATTTGAAAGACTGATTTCCTCGATTTTTTATAATATTTTTTACACATAAATGTACGTATTAATGGCAAACCCTATATTAAATAATGAACTAATAAATGTACATAACTTCCATGATATAAAGGCTCGCTTTTTTATTTTAAAGATTTTTTATTTATGTTTCTAATAAGTGGAAATGAATCCGCAAGTTTAATTGGCATAGGCATTGTATACTTGTATATTTAAATTTATTTGTTGGTATTTGATCGAGACCCGGAACGGCGTCAATTTGATGTATGCGCTTGTTTTATGAACTACAGATGCACCCCACAAAGTTTTCTTCGTCGAAATCTTTTAAATGTAACCCCCACCACAGCCAAATAAAAGAAACGACTATTTGTTGCTCTATTAGCTGAGACATTGACTCCCAACTAATTTGTACATCTCTGTATGTCGAGAATTAGGGTAGCCTATTTTTAAATTGAAACGTAAAATTTAAAGATACACATATTATATTTAATGGGTATGTATGCGTTTTCAATTCCAACAACACACATTTATATATGCAGTCCTTTCGATATTGGTTCACGTGGATTGGTGACCGCTCCGCTGGCATCGAGGTGTTCGCAGATCAGTAGGTAGGAACTCGTGGCTAGTCACATTTGCGACGTGTTCTTTTGTTGATATAGTTCCATTGTTAGATTTGTTGTTGCTGTTGGCGGCGATGACGATGCCACTCTTCTGCTTTGTATAGGAATATAACGTTTTGTTTCGATATGCTGCTCGGATAAAGAAAGAGAACATTCATTTCTCTGTTTTGATTTTTTTGTTCATTTGCATTCCGACCATTTGTCTTGATAGTTTGATCGCTTTTCGGTATTACGCAAACATTTCGGACGTTGTATTGACATTAATATACAAACGTTTTATTTCGAAAAGGAGTAAACAATTATGGCCGATCCAAACAGATGTGCTGTCTGCGAAGTACCGGCTTCCTTAAAGTGCATGGCCTGCAAACAGGTGTTCTATTGTGGCAAAGAACACCAGAAAATTCATTGGAAACGGGGTCACAAAGCGGAATGTAAATGTTACGAGGTGAGGCATTGAAACCTAATAAGAAATGAACCGTTTTTGTCTATTTGTGTTCTTTTGTTTTGACCTCTGCACAGGTGGTGAAGAACGATATACTTGGTAGACATCTAAGGGCGTCAAGAGACATTAAGTGCGGAGAAATAATTTTGAGGGAATCCCCCCTTATATATGGACCGAAGGTGGCATGTTCGCCACTGTGTCTGGGTTGCCATCGTACTCTTCCTACACCAGTGGGAAATAACTATTATAAATGCAGTAAATGTGGCTGGCCTATGTGCGGAGCCGATTGCGAGCATTCACAACATCATGTTAACGAATGCCAACTAATGTCATCGAGGAAATTTCGCGCAAAAATTGACTACAGCGCTCAGACCGGCCGGAAAGAATCGGCCTACTGTGTAATACTGCCACTGCGTTGTCTTTTGCTAAAGAAAACGAAACCAGATGAGTTTGCCAAGTTTTCTGAATTAGAAGATCATTTGGAGGAACGCAAGAATACTCCTCTCTATAATGTACTAAGAGCGAACTTGGTAACGTTTGTAAGGACTATTCTAGGTATGAACGAAAGCGAAGATGAGATTTTGCGTGCGGCAGCCATATTGGATACAAATGCCTTTGAAGTGCGTCAAAATGCGGTGGGTCGAAAGGTCAGGGCCATATATCCCATGGCAGCGATGTTTTCTCATGACTGTATATCGAACGCCCGCCACACGTTTGATGAGAAAATGAATATTGTATTCATAGCGAAAACTCCCATTGGCAAAGGCCAAGTCATTTCTACGTCATACACTCAGCCGCTGTGGTCAACAATAATGCGTCGCACACATCTATCGCAGGCGAAGTGTTTCGATTGCACCTGTCGTCGTTGTCGCGACGAGACGGAACTAAACACATTTGTGGGTTCAATAACCTGCAGTCAATGCAAAGTGGGAAAAGTATGGGAAGTGTTTCTATTTATTCGTACAGCGTTTTAATATAGTTCCCCCCCTTTAGATAATTTCCACAAATCCAATGGATAATAATGCTGGTTGGAAGTGTCAGTTGTGTGCGCACAATCTATCTGCAAAGCAAATAAATCTCGGAAACACGGCTATTCAGAAGGAGATTGAGTCTTTGGACAAATCTTCTGTGAAGTCATTTGAAGATTTCCTGTATCGGTATCGAGTCACTTTGCACGAAAAGAACACCCATATTTTGCAAGTGAAGTATGCTCTCTCCCAATTATATGGAAATGCGCCGAATTTTTCTCTACACGGTAATTGGAGAACAAGAACAATTGAGGAAAATGATTCCACGTGTGTTCGTTATTTTTTTAGAGATGAATGATGCAGCATTGAAGAGAAAGATAGAACTGTGCCAGGAACTTTTGGAAATAGCGGATATAGTTGACGGGGGATGGAGTATTTTTCGTGGAAATTTGCTTTTAGACCTGCAGGAAGCTTTGGTTATACAGGCAAAACGTGAATTTCTAAATGGTTTATTGACGCGTGATGCTACGCAGGTTGGACAACCCTATTGGTTTTTATTTCACATTAAAATATTCCTTCGTATCATTTAGGAGAAACTATTGGAGTCAATGAACTTGTTGAAGGAAGCCATCGACATAATGAAGCTGGAACCTGATATGAAACAGGTGTTGAACGATCGCACACAACAGCTGGCCAGAGAATTGGAGGCAGATGAATAAATGATATGTAAAATTTACTTTACACTAATAAAGGATTGGTAAACATGTTTCTTGTCCTTCGTAACGACAGAGGGCCGTTTTCTACTTTATTTGTTATTATTTAACCTCATTTGTTTTTTTTTGTGGTTGTTGCTGTTTAACCGTTGTTGCACTATTGTTATAAATTAGTACAACAATACGACATACTAAAACAATATCCGATACAAGGTATTACAGATATTCAGAATATTATAAATATTGGCATAATTTTAGTACATCTATCGAACATTATATGGGAATTTTTATTTCTTTAACTACAGCTTTAATAATGTCAGGCGTCTTATAGCACCAATTTCTGATATCTTTGCTGACGCGACACCATGCCTCGCCATGTTTTGGTTCGGCGCTTATGCAACGCTCCAGAACTTCCTTCTGTTGTGCTTCTGTGCCATGTAGAAGTTCGAATTTGTAGAAATATGCCCAAGCGTCCCCTAAATCGGGATCAATTTTAACCTGAGAAATATATAATGATTCATTAGTATTGTACACCTTTAAGGCAAACCTCCAGCTGTTGTACTTACGGTTCGGTTGAACCAGTCTCGGCACTTTGAGAATTTATGTTCAGACCAAAAAAGTTTAGATACCGCTAATAGGACATGGGGATCATGTTCACATTTCTTGAGTGCATCGACGGATTTTGTTTTTCGTTGCGGTTTAGATTCCATGAATATGGCTTCGGCCCATAACTGCCCTGAGTTTGGACACTCTTGTAGTGCTCTTGCCATCATTGTACTGGCTATTTCTTTTAAGTCGGCTCGTAGCTCTACACGTATTGCCTCCAACCACAAAATGGGTGTCTTGGGGTTCCGCAAACGAGCTCTTTCGAGTATCGAACGAGCTTTTGTTAGTACACCTTTACGTTCTTCTAAATTCGCTGACAGCAACCACAACGGAATAGATGTGGGGCATTTTTTAAGACCCAAATTGTATGTATTTGCAGCTTCTTCGAGGCGCCTTTGTTGCTCCTCTATTTGGCCTTTCATCATCCAGAGTTTTGGGAAATCGGGAAATACTTCAACTGCTTCTTCGAGCAGTCGAAGGGCATCTTCCAGTCTGTCCAGGGCCCATTCGAGACGTGCAGACTTCATCATAACTCTCGGCGTTGGGGCGGATCCACGTGCTTTTGCCAATAGTCGACGAGCCCTTTCATACTCAGAATTTTCTGATTCCAATTTTACTGCAGCTAACCAAATATCTTCGGAATTCGGGTTGGCTTGGAAAGCTAATGAAAGAATGGCTCTTGCGGCGGGAACATCGCCGGCCAACCATTTAGATTTGGCACCCATCAACCACAGAACTTCCGATTTAGGACAATGGGCGACGGCTCTTTGCAACAGAGCTTCCAGTGACTCACGCGTGCCATGATTTTTTTCAAAATACGCAGCGCGCAGCCAAATGCTTTTTTTCGATGGGAAAGTCTGCAAAGCATGTGCATATACAGCTCTGGCACATTCAAAGGCATTTTCCTTGGCGCACTAAAAAAAGAGGAATAATGATTTGCACCTAAACTATGAGTAAAAATTATGACTAATTTTACTTACAAAATCGGCATCGTCCATCCAAGTTTGTTTGCGGTCCTCCTCCTCTACGCCAATTCCTATTATTGACTTTATTATTGCTTGGCAACAGTGTACTGCGCCGGATTTTTCAGCTTCAATTGCCTCTTGGAACCAATGTTCGCGATTGATTTCTACACCATTTGCGGAAAGTGATGTAAGCGAACGATCTATTATTTTTTCAACCATATGAATATTGCCATTAGCTTCTTCTAGTTTCGCCGCAGTTGTCCAAATTTGTCGATCCGTTGGGATATTTTCGCGAGCTTTGTTCAAAACTTTACGTGCATTTTCATAGGTCTCCAATCGAGCTAAAGCCAGCCACAATTCCACACTGGTGTTGCAGCATTCCACGGCTCTTGATAGTAGGATGCGGGCGTCATCCGGATTCTCTAATTCGACTGCGGCTTTCCACAGACGGACCGAGTTGGGAATATGTTCGAGTGCTTTGCGGAAAACACGACGTTTGGCTTTTATTTCGGTCTCCAAATCAGCAGCCTTTATCCAAATTCTAACTGATGTTGGGATATGACGTGCTGCCTGAGCAATGACTGCTTTGGCGGTGTCAGTGGGCTGCAGCCGAGCGGCTTCCAACCACAGATCCTCAGATTGGGGGTTTATCTCACATCCCCTCATAATAAGGTTGCGTGCCATTTGAACTTTACCAGTAACTTCCTCCAGACGAGCGGATGCAATCCAAGCTGGCGGATGATTCGGATTGGTCTCCCTTACACTCTTTAAAAGCAAACGAGCCTTCTTAATGTCATTTATATCCCCACCATATGTGGGAATCATACTTTGCAAATCAGTTAGGTATCCTTTTGGGTCTACCACAGTCTGGCCAGTTACAGAGTCAGATACTTGCGAAAGCTTGACATTCATTAGAGTGTTACGAGCTTGGCCAATCTTTCTCAAATCTAAGTCACCAGTAGGTGTTAGCATTCCTGGGGTAGCTACGCCCGGTACCATTGATGCTAATCCCGATGAAGGATCTATAGATGATGACGTTTCACCTCCCAGATTTCTTGCCAAAACGCTATCTGGTAAAGGCGTAAACTTTTCAGCTCGAGCATTCCTTTGCTTTCTATTGCGACTGTCGCCAACCTCTGGTATGTTGGACCATTCTTCCGCCGTTACGGTTGCCAGTGACCTCTTTAAATCTGAGAACTGCTGTTGTATTTTGGGCCTAAACAAAATTGTATTATAAAAATATTAAAAGAGAGCAATCTAAGAAGTACTTTACCTCTCCTGACGATATCGTTCCAAATCCTCTCTTAGTCTGCGATCTCTATATTCCTTCCTCTTCTCGTCCATGCGTTTATCAATGGAGTCATAAATTGCATCAGCTTCCTCATCGTCTTTATCGTATGGATCTTTGGAGAATAAAGATCCACTGTACCCACTAAACTCGTCGTAATTCGAGTCGTTCAAATCCTCGTCCTCTTCCTCTTCTTCATCTTTCTTCTTCCTTTTTGCAGCTGGTGGAGCGTGTCGATCATCCGACACGTCGTTGGCATCTCGAGCGGGGCCAATATCAGAGCGTGTGGTGAAGCCAGTAGCACTAAATAAATATACAAATGAATATTATGAACCACAATCATTTGATATGTATAACTTACCCACGACCAACACCAGCAACATATCCCAGAGGTGCAGGCACACCAAGGAAATGTTTTTTATTGCGGTTGGCTATGACCGCTGCGGTTACATTTGACATTTTACAGAGTTATTCCAATTGCCCACAGGCAGGTCCAGCAAGTGAAGTAGGTTGTGATGTTCTCACGAATGAGGGTGATACATAACGGCGATATCAACGCCTTGTTTCGATATATTAATTAAATGTTTTTGTATAAAACAATAGAAGGAAACGCGCTAGTTGTTTCGATGCAGGGTTCTGCTTACGGGTATGTAAGTCGACTTTCGACGAGCACGAAAACGTTTGAGGTAATGTAGCAAAGCAGATTTTATAAGGTAGTCCCATCAACACAGCTGTTGGTACATTCAAATGTCAAAAAAGTTGCAATTTAAAATTAAAAACTAAGTTAGACATAAACAACTTTGCATTTTGAAGATTTTATTTAGCAATACATTTCTTAAACAATTCCGAACGAATTTGTAGAAAAAATAGAACAGTTTGTTATTGTAATCAATTGCTTATGCGGCTACCTTTAAAAGCCGTCCTCAACTAGGCTAATATCATCAGCTGATATTATTTTGTATTCTGTGAAATGAACGAATGGAACTATTTATGTTTATAGTTCACATTTAGTTCGTAAACGTGTGCAAGTAATTCTATGTCATTAAAAAAACAAATTTCCTGTGGATGAAATCCTCCGATCATAAATACTTGAGAAGAAATGAAATATATTTAAATATGGCATCACTGATGAGCCTTGTGTACCCTTTTTCGTCAGTCTAATATCATCTGTATCATCTGTATGTGTTGTTATTTGCCTGCTTAATAAAAATAGTGAAATAAAATAAAACTCAAAAGTGAAAATATAAATATTTAATTATCTGAAAACATATCTTTTTAACGATCAGTAAGCCGGTTTAAGTTTGTGGTATGTTTTTTCATTCATTTTATGTAATTGTTTATACATATATTTTTGACTTCCAATAGTGTCTTTTAGTACAAAACCCGGTAAAATTGGCTTCTTAAAAATTTGTTCGAAAGAATCAGCTTTTCGCCAACTCCCTTCAGTTTTGTTTTAAGAGAAGTATAGAAAAAAAAACAAGTTTGAGTGCATTCACCTCACCACCTTTTTCCTTGACAATTGAATTCCTTGCAGATATTTTGATTTTTTGTTTATTATATGTAGAAAGGGAAAATGCAAAATTTGGATTTGTTATAAATTATTGGTTCAATGCGTTCATATCTTTCAATATCACACATTGTGCAATTATACAATGTAAGCTATAGCAACCAATTATATTTTTATTGTGGCTTACTATGTACGATAACTTTCCACTGGAGAGGGCAACCCTCCAGTAAAAATATTTAAACATCATCCAACAATTTGAACAAAATACAAATTTTAATAGTTGAAATTTATTCATTTTATTGTACAATGAATACTATTGCTTAATATCTCCTGAACAATTAAAATATTTTGGTTTTTGCTCGGAAACTCGGAAACATTTAAGTTGTCAGACCACATTCAATACCATGTACGATAACTTTCCACTGGAGAGGGCAACCCTCCTGTAAAAATATTTAAACATCATCCAACAATTTGAACAAAATGCACATTTTAATAGTTGAAATTTATTCATTTTATGGTACAATGAATACTATTGCTTAATATCTCCTGAACAATTAAAATATTTTGGTTTTTGCTCGGAAACTCGGAAACCTTTAAATTGTCGGACCACATTCAATACCAATATGTACAAATTATTACGATATCAACCATACTTACTGTTTGTCTAAAAATATTTTATGATCTAGTTGTTTTAAACATTTATTTTACAACGTCCCTCGGGAAGACATTTACAATATGGAATGAATCAGACTTTAAATTGTAAAGGTTAACTCAGTAAAAGATTTTTATTTCCATTTCTTTATTAGATAAAAACATTCACTAAACACTGGCATATTTGGCGCTATATTGTTACATGACGCCTGTTGCTTTTATCGTTCGTAAGAGAAGAATTTCACAATACGCATGTCCAATCTATCGCTCTTAATTTGTCTATCTGTTTTCGACGAGTTCTTCGTAAATTCGAACAACCAAAATTGCCAAGCCATTACCATATTTTAGTGGTACAAATAATCTAAAATTGAGATACTTTCGGCTTGTTTTTTTTTTTTTGTCGATTTAATATATTGTATTCTGCGGTTGTATACTTTGTTATTCCGATCAACCAGTAGTTGCATCGGTGATGTGTTGAATAATTATTAATAGTTCTTTGTCACTGACACACAAAATATATGTATGGGGCTCCAAATATAGAAAACGGACAGGATTTTGTTGAATTTATTCCGACGGGGCTGATCTGTGGCAAATGAATTAGATCCCAGAATGTTTGATTAAGTTGGTTAAAGGCATCTGATTGACACTTATCGATTTGGGACATACATAAAATAATTTCGGAGCCTATATTCCATTCAACTCTGTTAGGAAACCTAATATGATGCTCTACGATATTGGCATATCGCCAGATTTTTTATACAATTTATGTACGTTGTGGTAAGACAATGAATTTGAACATTTTCGAACGATAACTTGATTACTTTTTATTATTAAAAAAATTCCAAAAAATGTGTTTCACATATTTATTTTAATGGAGGATTTTTTATTTGCTAAACGAGTATTTTAATATTACCTTTTTCATTCTTAAGTATTTGTGTATTCCGTAAGGAATATACAAAGTCATGTTCCTCGTTTGACCCCTCTTTTGGGAGAAATCCTTTCATAAGAATTCCTCGAGTATTCAATGGTTTACCACAGGGTCTCAAGACATTCCGTGGCTACATTAAATACTCTGTTTGAATATGATAATTTGCATGGATTTTGATGTGTTTTCTTTTGCATAGCTGATTCACTTAATTATTTTGCTTATTTAATTTAATATACAAAGTCATGTTCCTCGTTTGACCCCTCTTTTGGGAGAAATCCTTTCATAAGAATTCCTCGAGTATTCAATGGTTTACCACAGGGTCTCAAGACATTCCGTGGCTACATTAAATACTCTGTTTGAATATGATAATTTGCATGGATTTTGATGTGTTTTCTTTTGCATAGCTGATTCACTTAATTATTTTGCTTATTTAATTTATTTAATTATTTTTTATACATCCTACTGTGATTCTATGTTAAAATTTGAATTAATTATTTAAGATTACTCCAAAATCTTATATCTTGGGCTTGTGGCTAGGTCCCCATTCATGAAAAAAAAATAAATATATTGAAATTTTCAAGCAAATTATCTTACAAAAAAAAAAAAAAACCAACAACAACAATGAATATTCGACTCTTGCAGATAATAAACACTAAATAAAGGATGTATCACAGTTCTTCGGTGAATATTAGAATGCATTTCATTTAAAATATAATGATGGGAATGGGTGTGCGATTTGTTTTTTTTTTTTCAACACAAAATATGTATATGTATATATGCAGGGGTACAAATATGGATGAATGAGTGTATGAGTTTCGGTACATAAGTTATTAGTAATAAGTACATATATATCACAATTGAAATTCCTGTCGGTTCGTGTCGGCTAGATTGGCGACAGTTTATAGGCATTTTGCACCAAAAGCGACACCAACACCATTTCCACCAAAATCAATAGATTTATGATCGCTGTGTGAAAAATAGATGGAAAGAAGGAAAACAAGACTTTATTACCTATCAAGTGGATCGAAACAAACAATTGCTGGTCCAACCGACTTACTTTGTTTGTAAATAGTGTGGTTGATGGGATAATAACCGCCCAGCTCGATGTTATTCAATTGAGTGTCCAGCAGCATGTACTGAAGTTTGCACAGCAGAAGGATTAGTTGCAAACAAAACATTTTTTTCTGCAATGAACGGAAATCAAATGGATGATGCGCACCGTATGTAACAAGAGCAGAGGAATACCTACAGTTAGCCCATATTCGGAATGAATGGAGTTCACCATACGCACCACAATGTTCAGTGCCCATATGCCGATGAGGATGGAACAGACCAGAAATGGTATGAAGTATATGCTAACACTACGATAGAGTTCCTGTAATTATTACAGTGAAGAAATAGGAACAGTAAGCGGACAGAAGGATTATATTTGAACTAACTCAGACACGTTACCTGTTCTCTATAGTAGATTATGTTTAAGACCAACATTATGCAGCCCTGAAAAACGGGCATCTGCCAGACCATGTATCGCAGCAGGCATAGCTTAGCTTTTGAGGGCGTTAGAGCCGGCAAGCATAGACAGCAACAGCAGCACGGAGGCGTATTTATTGAGATCTCTGAACCATCGTTTTCTTTCGCATAGTTGAGTTCAGAACCCACGTAACGGAAGCACAACTGACGAAACACGACCGCCCCAATAGTAAAGCAGATATGCATAACTGTGTGGCATATAAGCCAAACCTTTGGCAGCATAATGGTGGTGAAAGCAGCGCCACATATTATGGGGTATAGAGAACACAATACTATGGATGGAACACGGATGAAGGAATCACCGCTGCTGCGAATCTTGGAAACAGTATAGGAAAAAATAGCTACATTCAGTAGCAGTAACAGCGAGCCGACAAACATCGACAGCGTTATAAATGGCGTTAGATCTGTAAAAAAAAAACAAGACAGAATGATGTAAGTCGCGAGTAAAAAAAAATCGTGCTATTCTGGTGATTATTTTGATCAGTCAAAATAACGTTGTTTGGCCCTAAATATTAACTGATTATACCACAAACTATATTTACCGTCTATGGTTCAAGATGAGGCTATAATTCTGTTGCCCACGTTTGGTTCACTCAAAATTATATGTAGTACACTCAAAACTAGTTCTTTAATGTAAAAATATGAAATGCTTCAAATAAGTAAGTCTTTATAAACCCTCATGTCGAATTCCTAAAAGATGGACTATGTCGGCTTTGAACTTTACGCTGATCATGAATATATATTCAAATGAAGATTTTATAAATTACAAACGGCATGACATATGTAATTATTGGGTTCTTCTTACTGCAAAGGAGTGCTGCGAAGGAATAATTATCAGGCCATGTTAATTTAGTAGTATTAATATTAACTAATTAATGACCATTGTACATGCACAGATACTGGAAAACACTCATATTTTAAATGCCATGCATTTTTTCAGGATTTTGAGTTATTCGTTCTCTACTTAAGCACATATGTACACAGGCATTGGACCATTGCACCTGCTTGCGTTCAGGCTCAAAATAGTGAAATGAATATTCGACTATCTGCAACGTTATGGGTATTTTTTATAAAATGTTGCATGGTACTATAAGAAAAGGTGGACTAACTGTAGTCTAGTGTAATGTCTTATTATGTCAAATTTGCATATAAACATATTCAACAGATTGTTGCAGTCCGACTGATTCGTTCTTACTTTAATATGATACACTTACTCTGATAATAGTCAGCTAAACTCGGATGGATGAAAATATTTTGTTTAGCTTCTTCGGCGGAAGCGTTACTTCCCATAGGTGTCACATCCATGATTCGTCAATTGACTGATAGTGCAGTACTTTAGTCTATGTTCTTACTTATCTGAAAATAAAAGCAGGATGTATATAAGTAGTGTGCAATGAAATAGGAATAGAAAACCATTGATTAACTTTTGAGAGAATATATCCGATATATTATATGGCCTATTGAGTGGTCAGTCACAATAGCAACATACAACCTCTACGCATTTGGTCATTGTTTCGTTTTCCAATTGTTAGCTGATATAAAATAATTTACCATCCAGAATAGTGAATGAAAGAGGACAAGTTGCCATAAAAAACATAATCACTTTTATGGGGGAAATACGTACCAGCGACTTCTCTCGAATCAACGAGATCAGCTCAAACCGGTTTGCATATGGCAAACTTGGAGTGATGGACTATAAAACGCCGCTCTTGGGGTTGCAGTTTAATTGTTTCGCATTAACAGCAATTCCCATAAACAAAGATATGACCTTGACTTGTTTTCGTATCGTTGCCGTGCTTCGGTAGCTAAGACGATGAGATGATTTTGCTGTTTCAAGAAGAATAGTGAAGATCTTTTGATAAAAATAATTTCTGATATGATATGATGTTTCTCATGAAAAAATTCCTCAGTGGGTTCCTTGAACATTTTACTGCCAGAAATATGATTTCACATCGAATCTGGCGTGAATTTTCAAACTAAATAGGAACGAAGTGGGATGGTGTAAAAGGCAGCCATTGCCATGGAGAACTCTTCTTCATGATTGATTTAATTAATTAGTAGAATTTACAAAAGGGCTTAAATGAGGGAATAGATTGTCAACGATTTGATTAATATGGAGCAATGCAGCCAAATGATAGTATCAAACATATCTATGACAAATAATAATGTCCAAGATGCTATCGATGCAATCCGACCAAAACAATCAACAACGCTTATGGGTATGGTGTTTATGGTGGCACCGCTTAATTCAAATCATATATGAAGCTTGTAACAACGAATGTTGCTTATTTAGTCAAGCGAAAGCGGGCCTCGAGTTGTCGAGACGTTCGGACATCGTCTTGCTGAAACACGGGTTGGCCGACTGATGGCGTATTATTATTACAAATGAAGAAACATTTGCTAGTCCAGCACAGGAATGCAGCGATTCATTCTTCCTAGTATTATTCTGGCATTCATAGAGTGCTCAGCATATTTTCGTACAATCATCTAGCGCGCATTGCTAAATCTGCGTACCATCGCATTTAAAAGACTACAAACATTTCTATCCAAATAAATTTGAGATGATAACTAGACAATAAGTTCCGCATTGTAGTTTTCTATATATAGCCGGCATTGGCATTCGCATTCCGACACACGAACACGTCTTATTATTTGTTTGGTTAGCACACTTCGTGATATTACGTACAGCATTATGACGTACTAGATAGGCAGACAGACAAGTCTGTCTGTTGCATGGCCAATGGACATCTAGAGGTTTATATGTGTGGGTCTGTCTGTTGCAGTGTGCAAAAGCTTTATTTTCGTCAATGTGAACAAAATTTGGCAACAAGAGTGAATGCAAACGTCCGGTTCGCAAGTGCTATATTGTAGACAATTGTCATTGTTGTTATAAAGGTGGGAACGATGGGCAATATGCTGTGGTTTTGGACACAACGAACCCTGCCACTCCAGATGATTCAATATATACTTGGTGAAAACAGTGTGAATGCGAAGAGATTAAAAACTCGACTTTGTTCACCTATGGTAGAGACTAGGACTAATCTTCCGGTCGTATTTGAAAACACAACTTTCACATGTTGTCTAACCCAATATGCAGCAACAGTAAACATCAGAGGCGTTTGAAAAAAAAATGGAAATTCATGTTTTGGATTTGTTTACTGAGATTGCGTAACTTTTCACATGCCAGTGCCACTAATAACGCTCTGTATTCTGTTGTAAACATAAACCAGTTATTATTTGGGTCACCAATGTTTCAAGCTGCGTCCATAGTGGCGTTTTCTCCAAAAGCACAAGTGTTTGCCAATATACGTGCATATACGGGGAAAGACGCGGACTAGAGGCTGTTGTAAAATAAATTACACATTTTCGAGGTAGTGCTATTTACCCATACAATTCGGTGAGCTTCATGCTCTCGTGAGATTTTCTCGTTAATTTTCTTTTGCTGTTGAGTAATTTGAATTTGTTGTCCGTAACTCAGTTTAGCAACTCAGCATCAGCACTAGACGACCGCTTCCAACGAGAAACAAAATGCAACTGATCTTTGGTGGTACTGAAGACAACAGAATTCGTTTGTCGTCTTGTAGAGAACGTGCGATCATCGCATGTCATTGATTATTTCTGTGAGCATGTGGTATCTGCTTTACTTCTTTCTCATTCAAATAGACGCTCTTGCTCTCTCGTTGTTTGTTAAGTTCAACCAACTGATTCATGTACTACCTGAATCAGTTGATTGTGATTCAAGCTAGTATTAAAATTTAGTTACGGACTCTACTGAACAACACAATTTGTTCGCACTCTTAGATGGCTTAGGTATTCGTATTAGTAAAGACCAACATAAAATAATGCAACAGAAAGGTATTATCACACACATCGATTGGCAGTAAGTAATTACGAATCGGTATCTGTGGTATGCCCAGTTATTAGCTGTGTCTGTTTAATCGAGGTTTGGAATTGTTACCAAATGTTGATGGATGTTGTCAGTTCTACGCTGAGAACTTACTGAATGTTACAAGGTAAATGTCTTCTAGTAAAATTTATCCAGCACGAATCCAGCATGAATTTCAATCAGTCGTTATTTTAAATTTTGACCAAAGTCAAAAAAAAAAAACATTTTATTTTATGAATTTTATTCCTTAACAAGTTTGTAGTATTTATATATTTACGTTTGGTAGGAACTAAGCGTTTACAGCATTTATTACATTTTATGCAGGATAAAAATTCGTCACTTGGACAGGGATGGTCCAGGCTTCGTATTTGAATTCAATATTCAGACTGCGTATGCTAAGTAAATGTCATGTTCCAAAGGCTGTAATTGATCGAAAACGCCGAAGAACTGAAAATAATTGAAAATAATAATCCAATTGGGGGGAATTTTCAAGAATTTGTTTAACGAGGATATAATTTTTTTTCTTGAAACTAAAATATTTAGAACTTTTGACTTAACCCGCCATATGTTAAGGCCCCATATATATATATATATATATATTAAGTGGTGGTTACGTAATTAAAACATTATCTGTGGTAAACATTTTCTGATCATTTTTTACTTAGTTTACTTAATTTAAAAAAATGAAGGAGTTTTTTAAAAATATTAAAAAAATGCAGGAAAGTAAAAAATCACACCATAGTCGATGTTTTTGTATAAAACCGTTATTTATGGAAACATTGCATGCAATAATTAAAAAAAATATAATAATTCAGAACACTTAGATATACTGCGCTTAAGAGATTTAGTGAAATAAATATATATAAATATATCTAAATGTTCTGAATTATTATTTTTTTTTAATTCTTCCAATGATAACTTCCATTGATAACTTTTTCTTGTCGGCTGATGTTAATTCTCAAATTAATGATATTAATGACGTTATAACAACATTATATTCATTTGTTCCTACCGTCAGCAGACGCATCAATTGTGGTTTAGATTCTTGGTTAAAATCTAGGAAAATTTTACATGCGCGATCAGTACGTGATATGGCTTACGGCGAGTACGTTAAACATCCAACTGCAGAAAATTTGAAAATATTTTGTTCCTATAGAAATAGAGCAAAGACAGTTTTAAGAAATGAGAGAAGAAAGTTCTATGTTCGCATGTTTGACGGTCTGAATAGCTCTCAGATCTGGAAGAAATTAAGAGCTAGTGGTTGTTTAGATGATGACTCTTTTCCCGATACATCTTCGGTGAATGTTGATGATCTCAATGATTTTTTTATTCAACCTGCTTCCACCATGGACTCAGTTCCTGTAGATCTCTCAGGCTATGATGGCGAAGGATACTCCTTTTCTTTTAGTTGTGTCTTTGAGGATGACGTTTTTCGTGCTTTAGGAGCTGTTAAGTCTAATGCAATTGGTTGTGATGGAATTCCAGTTAAATTTTTAAAAATTATCTTTCCTTACTTATCTTCCTACCTTTTAAAATTTTTTAATACGATTTTTACTACGTCGACTTACCCTTCTTGTTGGAAGCTTGCAGGGGTTGTGCCTATTCCGAAAAGTAAGGCCCCTTTTTGTATGGAAAATTTGCGTCCAATTAGTATACTTCCAGCGTTATCTAAAGAAAATTGTTTCCCATTTTTTTATGCTGATGACATGCATTTGTTTTTCAGAAACAGCAGTATTGTTGAATTGGAATCTGACGTAGATAATACCCTTTCAGATATAAGCAATTGGCTTGTTTTAAATAATTTTTTTGTTAATGTTGATAAATCTAGGTCTATGTTATTTAAACCAGTGAGGAGTTCATTTCCTAGTTTTCAAATTTACATGGATGGAACTAGAATTGCCCTTGTAGATGAAATGAAATGTTTAGGCTGTATCATTGATGATAGACTTAGCTTTGCTAGTCATATTCAAGTTCTTTATTCTGGTGTAGTGTCCACTTTGCGCAGGCTTTATTGTAACAATTTGTATCTACCTCAATTTATTCGCAAACGTCTTGCCTTTGCTCTGCTGATGTCTTCCATAAACTATTGTATTGAAATTGTTTCCGGTACCAGTCTCTTTAATTTGATGATTTTTGAACGATCATTTATTGTTCGGGTGGCACGAATTTGGAACCAACTTCCCTTGCTTCAACGTACCTTCTCAAATCCTGTGCATATATTTATTTACAGATATAATGAATTTTCGCTAAACCAAATGTGATTGTTTAGACTCTGCTCTTTTAGTAGTGCTATCATAAAATAGTTGGTACTTTTTTATTATTCTAATATTATTTTGTTAATTTTACTTCATGGGGAACCAATTTTATATGGAAATTCCATTAACATTTTTATAATTGTATATAAGATATTTTTTTAAAT